CTTTTATTTGGAAGATGGAATGAGCTGTATGCTACTGAATAATACGGATTATTTTTGTTCATTGATATTAAGGAAAAAAGTTGATCTTAGACATTCGTCAAATCTAGCAATTACCTGGGTTGGCTATCAAATGATTTCGGTCGGTTTTGGGGCTCCTACAGATGCTGGAGACAAATTTTTGTCCAATTTTCGATATTATTCGTAGAAGCACTTTGATGAGAAATTTGAATACTCCGCAAATAAAATTTATTTCTACCAAAAAAGGCACAAAGAAGAAACAAAATGGCAGATCACAACTCTTACTGTTATACGCTAAGTGAAATTGTATGTACTCGATAAGAAATTACTCAACTCCAATTCGATCGCGCATGAAAACAAAGCTGAGAAGGCAAAGGACTGAGCTTGTGAAAACTCAGCCATATAAGAACTTATTTTTCCTTTACTGATGATGAAAATTCTGAGTGATTGATATGTGATAGCAATGGTTTCAGTCACTTTTCCTGAAGGGATGTTAATATGGAGATTTGCATTCCACAATGAAATTACTTTTCAACCAAAGTAATATTGCGAAATATCTGACTTCTAGACTAGATCTACCCGCATCTTTAGTGAATCTGCTACAGAATTTCGCGCGTATGCTGAAACATTCCTATGTTTTCTTTGTTGCTTGAATTTCAAAAATTTTCTCGTAAGTAAGACGCTGGATTCTCTTAGCAGAACTTGCAGGTATGCAAATCGGGTTGCGAAAATGTGTTTGTAAACATCGAGCCAAGTTGCGTTAATCTCATGCCATCCATGGTCGTGATGGATTGTGGGACTCATCGTCTAAGCTCAGCTCGCTTCTTCATCAGATTGCGCTGAGTTATGGACGTCCTTGACGAGCCTCGGCTCCACTTTGAGGTCTTCGCAGAGCACCTCACGCCTCAGCTATGTACTTGCTCGATTTTCGTGGTGGCTCTCATGGCTTCGTCGTATCGACAACTCTGTCTCTCGGAGCTCCGAGAGAGCACAGACGGACTCTCTCCCATTCCAGGCAGCTCTATCGATCTTCTGCCCTGGTCGTTATAGCTTGCACGCATATTCAGTACAACGACTAGCTGTCAAAAACATGCTCTAACGCTAATTACATGTCCACATCGGCTAATTCTATATTCATTGATCGTGTAAAGGCGCTTAACTTACTTTACTGCATCTATGACAGCTTTGCAAGTCGTTGGCACTGAGCCAAATAGCTAAAAACACTAGGAATGCGATTATGCGCAATTATTCCCATCTCACATGTGTGTTCTTCCGAAATTCTTGAGAGGCGTTCGAAGAGCTCTTGTTTTTTGCTTGCATTCCATTTGCGTGAGGCTTCATCTTGGGTTGACAGGCTTCGCGAAATTCATTATTGGCTACGATGTTCATTAATGAAGACAAACTTCTAAAAGTTTTGTAATTTTCTTTTTTCTAGAGCGTGCTATTCAATTGTAATTCAATCCTTGAGATTGTCAACATTCTTCTTTTTGCTGCGGTCCTGTAGCTCACTAATTCCTCTGTTAGCGAAAATCAGTGCTTTCTATCTTCTTATGTGCTCGTAAACTAATTTATTTTTTATTTTTGTTTATTTTTGTTTTATAAATACACTCGAGGTGCACCAGTATGTCAAAATAAATAAAAAAGAAGAATCGAACAATTGAAACTAGCCAGTCCCCAGCCTCAAAAAAAAAAGATAGAAGAAAATACGGATGGAAAACAGAACACGAAGATTACAAAATTGATTTATCTCTCACTTAACATTGATTATGGGCTAGCATGAGTCCCGCACAGGGCCTTGACATTGCAAGCCTCGTCTGAGAGAAGAGAAGAAATGAAGATTGAATTTATTTTCTCTTTTTAGTTTTGTGACTTTATTCCTGTGGTATAAATCATTGCTCCTACAGCCTTAGTATCAAACATTTCACAATGCTGATGTTCAGGCAATTGTCTTGCCAAAAGTTTCTGTGATTGCGACTTGCTCTAATTCGATCGCGATCTCATTCTCTATCAAGTCATCCACCAATCAGATATTTGCAAAATTATTCTAAATCGTACTGCATTGTTCTTGATGTCTTATTCGTTAACAAATTAACACCTTTAGATTTGGTCATTTTTATATTTTCTGAATGACCATCTTGAACCAACTTTCTACACCCCTTCAGAACTACTAATAACTTAATAGTTTCGGAATATATAGCGGAGCTTTGCTGGTGAATAAAAACACCCATGTGCTATTCTTTGGTTAGAGAGAGCAAATGGACCGACTCAGCATCATGCTCCTCAATAAGCCTCGTTGAGCGTTCTGAGACCCTCAAGTATATGTTCTAGGCAGCGATCCGCAAGTCTCTAATCTTTCCTACCTTGAACATATAATTTTCAATAAGAAATTAGATGGATTTCCAATATGATGATGCTGAATAGTTTCTTTGGGTTTGAAAAGACTACACGGCTAGGTCAGAGTGTTTGAAAAATTTTGTTCCAGCATGTTGGCTGGTCAAAATAACTTTGTTTTGGCATGCGATTTGCAATTTTGTTTTGGCATGCGGATTTCCATATAAAATTTGCTTGTTTCTTCTATCCACGCTTCTTGTGGGAAGGTAGTTCAATGCTTCCTCTATCATATGTTCAATACTCAGGACTTTCTATCATCAGTGAAGAAAAAAGTTATGCCTCAACATGGCTAGATTTCCACTCAATTCTTTGACTTCCTAGCTTCGTCTTCATGCTGGAATGGATGTAGAGAAAAGCAGTTTGGTATTTGGATACAGAGGGTTCTTTCATATTTAGTGAATAGCAATAAAGAATGTGATCTTCCATCTTTAAGATGTTTTATCAAAAAAACCAAATTTTCTCATTTTTGCGCACTATGAGAAAATTGGTTTTTCGTTCCTTTGCGGATTTTTCTCCTTGGAAGATAAGCTCTACTCAAATAGAATTCACATTCCAATTCCCACTGAAGTTCTCTTTCCACAGATACCAAACACTAGGCAAATATTTGTCTGCAAGATTTGTAAAAGCCTCAAAAGCGACGAAACCAATTTATTAGCAAACCTAATGAATTAACCCAATATGATAACTTTTGTTTCGTTTTGAAACACCGCTTCTGGCTGGTCAATAATCTGACGAATTACTGTAAACTCTCAAATCCTACATACATCTCCAGCTCGTTAACCAAGGTTTTTGTGACGTTAATACTTGAAATGCTCAATTTGGAGGATAAGAATGTCAGTTGCGAATGGTCAGATTAATGTTCTGGAGCTTTTCGTACTCATTTGGGATCGGTTGGGAATCTCAGACGCTTTTTGGGAGCTGAACACGCTTCCGAGGCAAAGGGCAATCCGATTTGTACGTCAAAAGGAGGGTCCTCTGTACAATCTCTTAGGTCTCATGTTCTCAGAAATGTGCAGAAAGGACGTAAGCACTTATAGAATTTTATATCAATTATGAAAAAGCGAGGCTCTCACATTTAGCTGCCATAATTTTATAAGCGGGTATGAAAATATAGTATCCCAAAATATCTCTGACGTCTTCTTTTTTACTGCCTGGAAAATTCAATGCAGTTTGAAGTTTGGCTCTTTGCCAGTCCTCAGCATAGTTTTGAGTTCTTTTTTCGTACGCAAAAAAACGTAAAGTTCTAACGTGGGCGCTATGCTTTGGTTTCTATAAACAACTTTCTTTGTGCTGTAGTTTTTGCAAATGAATACATTTTCGCATGTCGAATTTAGCACAGCACTTATAGCATTGCGTCATGTAGTCTAAACACAGTTTTTGCGATATTCTGAACTTTTGCGCGACATTAAAAACCCAGATTGCACGAGCAAGTGACGTCAAGTCTATTCTAAGTACTAAAAAGTCTTCCCACTCCTATAATATGCCACCCCGTTATTGACCCAACATGATAGTTTTTTCTTGCGGTTGCTCTATTCTCGTAAATTCACTTGGAGGTTTTCGAATATACTAGAATAGAAGCCCTTTTCTGCGCAAATAGCATTTATTACTCATGTTTGTTGCTGAGATGTACGTCACGTCATAATTCACTTTTATTTCAACAATAGTCCCGAGTAAATTCAATTAGTGGTTGTAAATAGCTGCGATAACATTCTCTGCTTACTCCTTCATGCAAAAAATAAGTTATTTATCAACAGCCATAGTGTCACTCATGGAGCAAGCTAAACTCCTCCACATTCGGTACATTATTTCATTCATTCATGAGCCTATCAATCACTCATTATCCCGTTATCTGCGCGTAAATCTATACATTGCAATCAGAATTCAGTTTAGAAAAAGTCAGTCATGAATTTTTTGGGATTTTTCTGGACTAGATTTTGTAGATTGTGATTGTGGATTCTTTTTGTAAATTTTCGTTATTTAATATTTTGTTCTAGAATATTCAGACCTGGATAGACTTCGTGCGTGCCATAAGTAAATCCAATTTATGATTATTGCATATTATATCATATCTCGTGAACATGACACTTCTCCTGGTGAACAGTTCTGATTTTGTACTAGAGCAAGCTAATTGCCGTGGAGCGCGGGAGTAGACTTCCTTGCCAATGTGTGCAATTGCACATAATCTAAAATATAGGCGATAAAATGCTGGCTTCCCCAGTATAAACTGCACAGACTATAATTGCTGTTTGTAAACAACGTCCCTACGCCCAGAGAAGCAAATCGAGATAAAATACCAGAAAAATTTTATTTGGCACAAAGTATTTGTTAGCATAAAATTTGTGCAGTTGCACACCTTGTAAGCAATCCTACACTACGTTATATATACGCAACCTAGTAGCGTTATATTTTTACTTCACTTTCCTTGCATTTTTGTGCACATATGTAGTTGGTCCTTCCAACATAACTTATCCTGCAACTCAAAGTTTTCTCTTTTTTCTTCAACTCTCAGGTCCTTTTTTTGCGAAGATCTTCCAGCACGCTATTGCCAAGCTAATATGTTTACTAATTCATAACTTTTTAACAGATGTCAAATGTCCTGGCGTGAGCAGTCGCCCCGAGAATTCGATCCACATGGAGGCCGAAACGCTTTTCGCAACGACGACACTTTGCAGTCTACTTCAGGTAATTCATGCCCTCATTTTTTATTCCTCGCAAGCTTCGGCACTTGCGCTATTCATTGTAAAAGACTCTTGGGGATGTGAAAGTAGGGGATTCTGCCACCTCAGTGCCTTTCATATTCATCAAATTCTCACATCTGAAGTGCAAACCTTTTAGACGTTGTTGCACTTTGCCTTTCAAGCTGAACTTATTCTTTAAAGGTGTAAGGATTTCACTGTTTCTAGCAAATCTCGGGAAATTTTAGGCGCAGTTATGATTATTATCAATATCACAAGCATCGAATATCAATGCTAGGTTTCACTTTCATGGATAAAAAAGAAAAAATATTGATTTGAAATGTGCGCTTTAAAATTAGGTATATGATGTGCAGTGTAAAATGAGCGAATTTTGAAACAATTTATTGTGACGGTTAAGGGGGGGGGGAAAGTTTCAAAAAAGTCATGATTCTACAAGTGCATTCAACTACATACCTTCTCAGTTTTTTGATCCATATCACTACTTTCTTGCTGAAAAACAGCGAATAAATCATCCTTTTCTTGTAGGAAAATTTCTCTCAAAATTTCTCTCTCTTTTACTTGGAAAACAAATTACCAATATCCTGTTGAAATCACAGAATTTGGAAACAGTTAGGATGTTGAGACTGAAAAAAATTTTTAAAGTAATGAATTAGAACGTGATCTCTGCAGGAAACTCTTCTGCACTAAACAATATACCTTTTGTTTCACTGGAGTTGGCGACTAGAAGGCGGGACTTCGATTGATTAGAGAGCACGTAAGAGTGGGAGAGCAGGTTTTGTATTGGGAGAGCAGCTTTTGCAATCCCCTCGCGTACCTGCTCTCTAATCGATCAAAGCCCATCGCCCCTTCCAGCTGCCAATTCCAGTGAAACAGGGGTAGATTACTAACTCGAAAATCAAAATCAAATCGAAGTAAAATGGTTAAGTTCTAGAAAGTTTGAAACTTTCACGCGGTTTTCGTGTTAATTGAAAGTAAAACACTGTGTATGAAGCCAACCCACTCCAAAGAAACTTCCCTTTCAACAGTTCCTTCTCAGTAAGTCGTCCATCTTTACTAAGGAACTAATCTTAAGGGCAAACGATGCGTAGAATCGTTTTCCGATTGGATGCACTTGAAGGACAGCGATACGGTAGTAGTAATCGAACACGCCATGCTTTGATTGTGAGAATGCGCTTGTTTTTCCGCTTTTTGCGCCTTGACAACGTTTGTTTTTTCCTCATATTTTTTCTGTAAAAAGCGCCCGAACAATTCTTTATATCGAACTTGGAGTTTCTAATACTTTTCTTATAGGTGTTCCCGCATGCAAGATTCTTACAACGTTCTTGCTAGCAATGCGATGATTTTTTGCAGTCCTTCCCAGGACTAAATTCGCTCAACGAAGTTCTTTGTGCTCTCATCGAGCTCCACTATGCGCCTTCGTCGAGCTGAGATTTTATTGAATCTCTTCCAGCGTTGCCCGCCGTGTTTTTCTTTCGACTAACTTCCATCGTACAACTTTCGTTTGTTCACTTCTTCAAACTTATTCACAATCAATAATTAATGGCTATAAATTAGGTCGTCCCGAAAGTTCTTTCACATAAAATTTAAAAAATCATAACTTCTGATTTTACCAACCGATTTGGCTGCTTTTATTTTTATATGAAAGGGTATACCATGCTCTTTATAATGACATCTTAGCTGCTTGCTAATGATCATCTGTTGCATAGATAGGAGCGATAGAAGAAAATTCGTCAAAATTTGAATTTTCTGTGTAGGGTCATAAAAAATCGGAAACCTGCAACAAAAATCGGAGCAGTCGGTGTTGTAGATTCTTTCACCAGCTCTTTCTAACAGTGCAAAGTTTGCGCCGATTGAGCATCTCTATGAAAAGTTACGATTTTCCTAAAAAATGCCAAAATTAATCAAATTCGGCCTTTTGCATTGCTTGCTCGATAATCATAACTTTTCATAGAGAGGTTCAATCGGCGCAAACTTTGCACTGTTGGAAAGAGCTGGTGAAAAACCTACAATACCGGCTGCTCTGATTTTTGTTGCAAGTCTGCGATTTTTTATGACCCTACACAGAAAATTCAAATTTTGACGAATTTTCTTCTATCGCTCCTATCTATGCAACAGATGATCATTAGCAAGCAATTAAGATGTCATTATAAAGAGCATGGTTTACCCTTTCATATAAAAATAAAAGCAGTCAAATCGGTTGGTAAAATCAGAAGTTATGATTTTTTGAATTCAATGCGAAAGAACTTTCGGGAGAACCTAATAAATTCAATTTCAACATAAACAGATAACTCTGTTTTTGGAATGTGGATATACAAGACAAAATAACAAATAATTAAGTGAGATAGTGACACAGGCCCATTATTGAGTTCTGTCCATATAAATCCAGAAGTCGAACCTTGGGTAGAAATCACAGCGTAGCCTTGCCGTATGAAGTATAAATTAGCTTCTACGTATTCCTGTATTCATCAACATACGATAGATAAACAATTTTGGTTCATTCGTCAAAATAAAATGTCTTCAAGAACTTGCAAGGCTACCTTAGGAAATATACTTTTTCTTTCTTCTTGTACTTCTTTGTTACTAGGTGGCTACCTCCTATTTGAACGAAATCTTGGCGCTTTTTGCTACTTGTTAAAAGGACAGTTGTTCTCAAACATTGGTGTACTTCATACCTTAGTCTTTGGAAAAAGAATCAAAGTTTATGTAGATAAACTCAATATTCCTAGGAAAAATCGGAAATTTTTGCTCATTGAAGTCTATGTGAAGTAATTAGACTGAACCAATATATTCATGGTAAATCACACCTTAGAATAGCTTAATTGCTTAGGTAACAGCTTTGCATATATTTGACGTCGCTTTGCAGAACAGGACTTGACCACATGGCTTGCTCTGCAGCCTGAAACGAGCCAACTCACATAAGATTTTTTGCTCTATCAAATGCCATTTAAGAAACAGATTTCAATAGCTGGAAAACGTTTCGGTTGAAAAATCGTTTCCATGGTAATCAAATTATTGGCTATAGAAATGCACCAGGATTGAGCTTACCAAAGTCAGTCATAGCTTCGTGGCATTTCTGTGATTCTCTAAGATCACTTCATCTGGTAAAAATATTCTAAAATAGTTCTCTCCTGCTTTATTTGAGTAATAGAATATTAAAACGCTTACTCTTATGTAGTCACTAATCGTAAAAGATTAAACCACAGTACTTAAAGGATTGCTTTCATAACAAATTATTAAATAATCTTGCTATACATAATTGGATTAGGGACACAACCAAGGGAAATAAGCTGTGGTAGGAAGAAAATTCTCAATTTTGTTCTTTTTTGTGATGATACCGGAAAATGAAGAAAAGCAGTCATCTGAAATTTCATGAATACTTCAAAAGCGATGACATTTTCTCTGCTCCCTTCCCCAGGATATCAAAGACTAATCTCTTTAGTTCTTTCTACTTGATTAAATTGGCAAGAAGTCACATGAACTACGAGGCACCTCGTTTTCCAAGTCACTTTTCCACGACCGCCAGCGAAATTCTGCACTTGCAGATCGCGTCGCCTCATTTCGTGCGATGCGTTCGTTCACTGAGTCGATCGAATGCGATCTACCGCCTGCTCCCGAGTTGCCTGCACAACTCGACATCGATCGTCTCTCTATGAGAACTAGCGACACAAATGAGACGATCGTCGAAGTGGTGGGTCTTAGGAAGATTTTTGGGGATTTTGTGAAGTTTTTTATGTTGTAGGTGAAGCCAAAGGAGACCATAGACCCGTCATTGGGTGAAACTCAAAAGTACAAAATGGCTGTTCCAGGACCTGGCCATTCTGAGCAGGTAAGGTTGGACTTGTTGGATTTTTGGAATTCGATCTTGATAAACATCCAAAGTACGCGCATAAAGTTTTAAGGAAAAAACAATATCTTTCAGGAACAAGAACTCCATAAAAGTCTCCTTCGCGATGAGGACGACCTGGATTCGGAGGTGGAAGCACTGGCAGCCGGTATTATTTTGAGTGTCTCTTGAGTTTTTACTACCAGCTGGCCAAAAAAATAGGTACTTTTCCGTTATCCGGGCCCATTTTTTCAAAAGGTTCTTATAAAATACGTTGTCTGGTCTAAGAACAATTTTTTATAGATTTTACAAGGACTGCCTCTCTGCCACGTGTCAGGAAAATATTGACACGTTTTGGCCCATTTTGACATGTTTTTTTCGAAATCATTTCCGGTAAGGTAAAAGAGCGTTTGTGATTACCCAAAAGCTGTTTAATTGTTTTTGTAAGAGCAAAACAATCTAGAACCTATATCAGAACATTTGCATCGTTTTCAGCTATGATTCAGCATTTCCTTTCTCTTCAAACTTTTCGCATTACGAATTTAGCCAGAGGAGACTATAAATGATGGCTCAAAGTTCTTCGCTAATATTTGTTTTGCCACTTAGATGATGGGACCCTAGCCCATCTGGGCAAGTCTGATCTGCTTATTATTGACAGAGTGACGTTATTATGATAACAATGTTCATTTTTGATACTCTTCAATCAAAAATGGGGCCACTATTGACTAGAAAACATTGAATTTACGTCGATAGGTGGGGCAACTCAAACTCTCGGTTAAACCTGTTAAACATCGAAATGACATGTCCAACTTTTTGACACGTGGCAGGAAGGTTGACACTCCTTTTTGTGAAGTCGGGACCAGATATGGTACGAGGAAAGAAGCAATATCCTTTTTTGAAAAAATGGGTCCGGATAACGGAAAAGTACCAAAAAATAAACGCACAACTAGCTAAAGTATGCAAAAATCATTCCCTTTGGGCGGCTGCGAAACGTCGCGTCGCAGATTTTCGCAAGAGATTCATTCTACAGTGCATCCCATTCCGAGTGTCGAGTCGGCGCGGTCGGGTCCTCGCGAGCCGCCTCGCTTGGGCCACTCGCCGCGTTCGCGAACATACCTCGGGCATATCTCAAGGTCGTAGTCATTGACACCTGAGGATGGGGTATTTTTCAATCTTCAGGCGTAGCAATATAAAGTATGCGATAAGCCCTGAGACAGTTCGCGAACGCGGCGAGTGGTCTAACAATAAGCGAGGCGGCTCGCGAGCGAGCCTCGCCGACCGTGACACTCAAAATGGGACACAGTGCTGGCATTTTGCTAGCTAGAGATCGAAGAAACGTATAGGATCAGACATGGTCTCGTTACAGTGATTAGCGAAACACCAGTTTCAGTCTAATTGCACTAGAAGTCTGTAGCATCATGAACGCATATCATCTGAGTGCAGCTGCGTAGCGGTCGCGAAGCGGTTGGAATATCTCAAGCGCGTGCGACATGCCAAATTCGTGTGACTTAGAAAATGCATATAGCGCTATATTGAGGGAAGTTGTTATATCCCGAAACTCCAAATTCAAAGTACAATGCTTTGTCTTACAATCAAAAATGCTCAAAAATCGATATTATCTAACTCTTAGTTGATGCTGTAAGGCTTCTTTTTCTTTTTCAGAACAATTCAAACGCCCCGTCGCCCCACCGTCTGCGTTTGCACGACATGTTCAGGTAGCCCCCTTCTTATATGAGAAATATAAAGCTACATTAACTTTTTACAGGACCCCGAACATGCCGCATTACGTCGTCAATACAGTAACCCAGCCGCGCAGCGTCCCCGTCCAACCACGCCCACTCAGTCTTGTGCTTTGGAGAGATTCGCCTTCAACGCTCCGTCCGATGGCATGTTTTTGTTCGGATTTGAGATTGAAGCGATGCACATTTCGTTGACAGCTTTGTCAACACATTTAGCTGGGGAATGAGGGAGGAGAGATGAGCACGGGAGCGTTATTCGAAAAGAAGGATGATTTCTGGGTGCACTAAGGTTGAAAAATTAGAAAGTTTTCTTTCAGAAGTCGTGGAAGTGAAAGCAGAGGAGAAAATTAAAGTATCGATACCGAAGGAGAGAACAGGTACATGCTGTGCTTTCATTTCTTTTGTTTTTTTTTCTTGGAATGATTACCGAATGAGGAGGAAAAGCATTAAATTTCATCGAAAATAATACCAAATTCAAATAATTCGTACTTTCAAGTAGAATCATGGGACTTCAGCTCAAGATCGTTCATAATTTTTTGTGCCTCTTCGCTATTATTGATTTCTCATCTTGATGCTGAATGAAAATTATGGTCAGCTTTTCAAATACGAAACTACCTATTTGCCTAATTTTATTTCTCGTTTTCTCGCTCCCAAGGAAAAAAAATTTATTTTTTGGAAAGAGAATTATTTTTATTGATGAGCTTTTTTTTGTATAAAGGCACATAACCTCAAGTAAAATCATGGGAATTATTTATAATTACGTTTCACCTTTAATTATTCTTAGCTCCCTATTGATTATTTTATTTCTCAACATTTTTATCCACACTTTTTCAGTTCCACTAGCATTCGGTGAATAATTTGGAGACTAGCTAGAAGTGAAAGCTAGCTTTTTTTGCAATCTAAAAAATACATCTGAGAATCAATAAAATCCCTGCATCCAATGTGTGCGATTATCCTGTCTCCCCTTTTCAGTGTCCCGAAGGAGGAAATCCGATATGCCATACTCAGATTTCTATGAAAGCATTTCTTCCCAGATTCCTCCACAGGTCAGCGATTTTGAAATATTTGCTTTCAAACCTAGCGTCCAGATTTTGCAAAAACCCGCCGACGCCAACGCTCTCTAGCTCCGTCAAGACCCGAATGCGTCAAAGTGCACTAAGAAATTCTAACAAAAACACCAGATTGCCATTATTTCAGGCTCGAGGCACCGTGTCAGGTCGTACAACACCATTAAACGATTACGAGGGCGATATATTGGAGGAAAATCCACAGTATAAGAATAAGGTTGGAAAAAGGTTTGAGAAATTAGTTATGCCTAATTCTTACCTTTAGGCTCCACCTCCTCCAGTCGTCCATCGCCGAACTAGCATTGAATGGGAGAATTTCGAGGAATCTATGCGTATGTTTTCCAGAATCTTTCCAAAATTTTTCAGGATTTTTTCCATACTTTTATATCCTTTTATACTAGTATTCTCGGCCTAGAGCGTATAGAACAACGCATATCTTCATCAGCATAAATCTTTTGCAGAAGTGAGAAAATTGTGCCTATGACGAATCTCATTTCCTTTTTCCTCACTTTTCTCCTATCCTGTTAGTCTACAATTCTTTTGATCCTGCACCGGTTTCTTACAGGCTTTTACTCTAATAATGGCAAAGTTTCCTTTTTAGATTCCTATTTGAAGATCCTTGGAAGTTTATCCAAAGTTCAGGCACTTTCCCAGGAGATGCATTAAAACTCCCATCGCATTATGATGAAATAGTTTGTCGAATATTTAACTTATGGGCATCCTCCCAAAAAGTATGAGAAGCGATATGTCATTGCAGTCCGCATTCATTTGCTTGTTATTGTTCTTAATTTTTAAGACATTTTGAGCACCAATAATTTCGCCAAAATCTTTCAAAAACTTTAGCGCAACAGATAAAAAGCGCTGCTCGTACGCCTATTAATTTGATGTAATTTTTCAACAATTATTCTTGCGTTGCCGGATATCAAAAACAATGACAGTTTGTAGCCATATCCCAGGAACAAATCACCGTAACTTGTACATTCGTTTCCGCGCAAATGATGTCGTCACCGCAGGCAAAAAAATTCAGAAAAAAGACTTGGAGACTCTTTTAGACTGCGAGCTGGATAGGTGCAAGACTATCGCCAATACAAGTTTTTCGCAAGGAATGTTCATGTAAATGTTCACGAAAGGAAGAAAAATGTTGTAGGTTGACTGACTACGACATATTTCGCATTTGCTCACGCGTCGTTCAAATTCAATTACCTTGGAATGATGAAAAATCATAAGGAGTTAACGCAGGTTAGCGCATATATTATTAAAACACGCGAAGTAGCGCCATTCTCGCAATAAAGTATTCGTGCTACGACTTTATCAATTCTTATGTCGTCTTCAGACCTTTAGCAACTTTCTATAATGTTTTGGCACATTCATATCACCTTCTCCATTGCAAATTCTACATTTACAATAACGCAAAAATTCAGATCAAGTTTTTTGCAGTAAAAGGTTTGGCTGAAAGACTAGGACTAAGCTAGTGTGAGAACTTCGCATTTAGAAGACGTACTTGTTGAAGGCGAAAGCATTCAAAGGAAAAAATGCTTTTTCCGCTTGATTCTCAAGTGCTCCCAGGATCTGCTGATTTACTAATGCCTTTATATTTATCACTTTACTAGTATTAGGTTGATGCACAATTCTTGCACCAAAAAATACAAAAAAATCATTTTAAAAATGCTTAAACAGACTATTTAACTTGCATGTTCTGCCCTATGTTATGTATACCAAAAGTAGTAATTTATAGTACATTTTAGAAAATCAATTTGAAACAAAATCGATAAGTCATTTCAAAAAAATCGAAATTCGTAAATATTCGCAGAGATATCCAATCACTATCAACTTTTCTAGTTAAAAAGAACATGCCATAAAGCTTAGACCAAAAATAGATTTGAATTTCAGTAGACGTTTTAGCAATTTTAGTGACTAAAAATCGAAAAATCACTTTTTGGGTATTTCTCATGTTCACCTTGTATCGTTGCCATATGCCCTCAAGAACTTGGCTCGAGCACCGCCAGAAAGCGCAAGATTTGCTCTCTCTGCTATATATCGAACCAGTAGATTTCATCTCAACTGAATGAACTGACAGAATTTTTAAAATTTTGGTGCAAGAATTATGCATCAACCTAATATTTTGAAATTTCGCAATCTTTGCTATGGTGTAGGAGGAGAAAATAGGGTAATTCGAGTGACATTACCAACACATAGGTGTCCCTATTAAAAGGCAAGAACTTCTACATATTTAGGGATATTGAGTGCGTTTGTGTAACGCAGACAATATTTATGTTGCGGGCCACCTCAGCGGCGCGTTTACATACTTGTGCCTTGATCCAGTACGGATTTTCTTCCAGCCATGAGCTTCGACTTGAAGATGCACAAGCACAGTAGCGCATTAGTGCTCATTGGGCATCAGTTTGCATTTTTTGAGCACCTAAGTGAATATTATTTTTTATACAAACCGTCTTTGTTGGGGCTCGCGCGAAGCGAAGAATCCCACAACTTTCCCTGAGCACAGGTGGAATCATCGCCACTTTATAGCCTTCCTTAGTACATATCGGTCACACCTCGAGCGATTTCAGTCGCAGAGCGATCTGGTGGATTGCTGCAATCGGCCTGTATTCTTCATAGGCGCACTTTGAGCAAAGAATTAGCTTGTTTGCATCAGCTTACAAAAGCTATGTGTCTTTGCATTTGAAAACCGCGCGCGATAAATCTTTGCAAATGTGGCATTTTGCCAAATCGCATGTCGCCGCAATTTGGCCGAATCGCTCTAGGTATGACCGATGCCTCAAAATTGCAATTTCCTCAGCTCGTGAAAATTATCAAAGCTTTTAAAACTTTTCCTTTTCTCTCTGTCAGTGGAAACCGACAAGAATCTGAAACTTAAAGAGGGGAGTGTGCTTCAAGGCAACACGGTGTGTTCAAGGCTCGGCACGAGCGGACACCAGGGAAATTTCAAGACGGAGTCTTCTTTGATTTTGAAATCGTGCGAAGTCCCTTTTAACCCCAACCCTAAACGTAAAAACCCTAAAAAAAAAACAAGCTTCGACTAGAAAAACGTCGCATTTTATTTGTGTCTTTTCGGCCACAAAAACGATATTCAGCTTGTTCTGGCGCTAGCTGTGCCAACCTGGGTGTAGCTGATTTTGAACGGCAAATCGCAGCTTTCAAAACATCAGCGGAGGTCATTTCCAAGGAGTTGATTGGTCTACGCGGCTTGATTATGATAACCTGCTCCTTTGCTTTGGGAGCTCCAGATTGCTAATTCTCCTTAGCAGAACTTCCTGGGCCATGACGCAGTGAAGTCCAAAGCACGTTATCGCTCTCTATTCTTTCCTGCGCTAATCGAAGCTGCATACATAATAAAGCGGTCCGCCTACATGCGCGCTGGCCCCGAACTGATGATGTCATTTGTCAGGAAATGAAAGAACTTCTGGAGGGCCAGCTGAGCTTGCAGGGCATGCGAGGATGGCTGAAGAAGATCTTTATATTGTTTTTTTTTCGTGGTTGACGTAAATTACGACATTTTCTAAATATTTAATTTAATTTTAAATTAAGTTTCGAAGGAACAAGGCGGTGAAATTTCAGAGCATGAAAAATGACATCACCTTAGTTTACTTTCGCATAAGAAATTGACTAGAAATGATGAGCTATGATTGGATTTTTCATGTGATTGTAAATGCTTTGGAAGGCTGAAGGAATTGCTTTTATTAAGACTTACATACTTTTGTTCAGAAAATGACTTTCAAGCATCCCAGATATTCTCAGATGAATTGGGAAAAGGGTAAATGCACTTCAACTAATCGTTTTCAAAAGGGATGTCTGGGGCATCTGCAAACATTGTCTTCTGTTTCAACAACGTTTTGCTTGTTTCGGAAAACGGATATTGAATTTCTAGAGGACAAATTGGTCCATTTGCTTTTTCAAAAATATTCTTCTTTTCTTGTAGACATGAGTTTCAAATGGTATCTTTCTTAGTACCTGAAAATAAGGTTGGTGGATGATCCCTTACACTTTTTTGACTCTGCAAAATTCCACAAGCTTACTAAAAATCATTTGCAATCATACCTAGAATATGGCAGAGTTCGCCCTTCAAGATCGATGCCGCAAATGCACACATGGCCAACAAATTTGCGACAGTCTTGTAAATCAAATTTTTCTTTTTCCTTCATTCAAAGAATTTACGGTACTGTTTTCACTTTGATGCGAGATACCATCTCTAGCACCTCGAAATAGGGAGGATAAAAATAGCCAAATAAAGTTTCTAAAAAATTTTCTTTTTGTAGGCAACACATAGAAATTGACACAAAAAGCTCAGTCATGATTTCTGGAATTTTTTAGTGGAAGAAGTTCTTCTACTCAAAATGCTATCAAAATGTGAAGGCGTAGATTCTGAGCCCTCTCTAATCCGAAAAATGATTCTAGCTTTAGATTTGCTCTTTTATAGGTATCCTAAAGCATGCCTAAAAGCAACTGCAGATTTTAGCATGCTTTGGAGGCAGAAAACTTTTTTGTCAATTTTCTTATGAGGAAATCGATAGAATAGCCGCCTTTGTGGAAAATATTATTGCTTGCTGTGGCTACATAGTATTCCTTTGACACTTTCTTTGATGTCTAGAAAAGGGATTTGCTCCTAGATGATGTTTTAGATGAACGCCAAACCTTTTTCAGCTTCATTTCTCTTCGAAATCCTAGCGCCCTCTGATATTGAATGTCGCCTGCATTCTTCTATTTTTGACATCAAGGGCATAATGGCAATCTCATCCGTATGGAAATCCATCCACATCTCACATTCCCTTTAAAATCGTCGACATTCCGTCCCACGGCGTGCTGCGCTTTTTCCTTAACGCTCATACCTTTGCGTGATTTTGTGGAATATTTCAATGAATTAGTGCCCTTTATGAGATCGATTTTGATACGTGTCTGATGCACAAAATCCAATATTTCCAGGCATTCTGTTTATGTAATTTCGTGCATTTTCGTGAGAAAGAAATGCAAGTTTCTGCGAATTTTTGGTGATATGTACTCGGACCATTTTTCACCAAAGTCACAGTTAGGCATACTTGCTCAAATGGAAAAGATTAACTAAATAAAATTAAAACATTATATTCAATATATAAAATATTATACTTAATTTTATTCAAATAAAATAAATAAATAATTATCGGCTACAGAATACTCCTAAAAAGACTGCTGTAGAAATTATTATCTCATCAGCAGAGGATATTCTTGGATAAGGTTAAAACATTGTAAAAGCTCGCTCTCAAATGGCCGCTTCCTCTTTCCTTTTGTTCGTTCAGTCTATAGTTTCTATAATATTTGTCCGTATCCGTTGCTGTTCATTTTTTAAATGAGTAGAACAGAGGAATGTTGCTCTTTCTCAACTCAGCTGCGTTTTGTAAATCTGTTACAGATTTCCAATAACAATGCACTTTTACCATCATGGTTTTTCCATCACCGTTTGCAGTCTTGCAACAATTCAAATGTTTTGTATGAGCTATAATACGCATGTACCTCCTTTACCTATCTGTAGAAGCCTGTGGTTGAATGCAAGTCATTGGAAAAAGTTCATGAGCCTGTCACAAACAGGCCGAATATCCACAGTTTGCAAAATGCGAAATGGTGACATTTTGTAAATGTTTTCGCATGCACGTAAACCGTTAGATCTAGTAAGAATGTTCCTTGCCTTCAAGTACCAGCTTGTGCCTTCTGATATCATATTGCCGAGACAATTATCTCATCATTAACGCGTCATAGGATTAGGATGCTCCTTTTCGAAAATAATTTTTGTGTACTTTGATCACACTTGAACTTGCATTCGAACACAGGGAAATAACAGGCAAATGCAGACGTTGAGGCTGAATTCGCAAAGTTAGTGCATTCTGCCATTTGTACCCTTTGATCCAACGGGACTGGCGGCTGAAAGGCGGAGCTTCGAGGCATAATCAAGGCTAAAAAAAGATGATCAGAACGCCCGGAGAGACGCAGACTGCGTCGCAGGAGCTGGCGGTCGCCTTCCAGCCGCCAATCCAGTTGAATCAAAAGGTACATGTAGGATGACTCCTGAGTGGAACTTTGACGTATTCAAGCTGTTTCTACAGAATTACGTAGTTGAAAACTAGCAAAAAACATAATTCTCATTGTCACCATACTTTCGTAAACTCTATAACGAACAGAAAAAAGACTGTGCATGATTTTAGAAAATTTCATATCCGTATTTCTTGCCTTAAGCAGCTGCATTATGTACGTCTGAAACAAATTGTTGAAGTTTGCTCAGGTAGTTCGAATAGTAAAATTAGGTGCTATAAAGCAGTTTTCAGATCCAAGCATCATATGTCATTTTATGTGAAAATGATTGGCACTGGTTTTCTTGTAGGTTCTTCTTTCCATGGTTTTTTTATCGTCTATCCTGCTTCGCTAAATTCTCCTCGTCTTATTCAATTATTTTTCATGCTATATATTCTTGCTCATATTGGAATTGAACATGTTTAACTCAACGACAGTTTTACACTTCTACAATCAAGAAGAATGAGTAATGTTTTTTCACATTAGCGCAGTTTGAAGCTTTAGTCGTCATAAGCGACCTAGGAACAAAAGAACTTCAACCTTTTCTGATAAAAAATTAGCATTACTGCTAAATCAAGCGTAAATTGTCTGAATAGCTGGAGAACATATGTATTTTGCTACTCTTAAACATCCAATTTCAGTAGAGGTACGTCATCAGAAGATGGTAATCTTGACCCAATCTTCACTTTTATTTAAGAACTGACAATATAACATATGACAATATCAAATATTGAGTTGAAACGCGTTTTTGTAATTTTTCTTCGTTGACCTTTGATAACCTTTGCAAATATCGCTTCTTATAAAGCTTGAGTAAATTTATTTGACAAAACTTCCTCCTAGACCTAAACGAAAACTACATGCAGTACATTACTTTTATAGATTTTGATATGGTTAACATATAGAATCATGTATGACACACATCTATGTATATCCAAAAATTGTCTTCTTACGCAATTTCCTGGAACCCCTTACTTTTCAAAAAATTCATATACATACTTATTATTTCTAAACAAACTTACTTCTCAGTATTAAAAATAAGTTTTATAGACCTTCTTTCTTTACTGAGTAGTTTCGGGGAAGGTCTGTAAATAGTTTTACTCCGTCTTAGGGTATGAACGAAACGGAGCCTTTTGGTTATTTACACACTGTGAATTAAGAAATTTTCTTCTTATTAATGATGAACTTTGCTAGGAAGTCTATCACAGCCAAATTTGTTTTTTGAGAAATCCATAAATTTTTTTCTGAGCTTTCTGATTTTATCATAGCTAGGAACATTAGCTTCAATGTAATATATGGTTTCGACTCTTCAGTATCTTTGGGAACTTAGTCAGATTTCTAGGATTCAGAAGTTCCAACCTCCGAACAAATCGAGACTAAAATTTTTTTAAAAAGCAGTGAAATTACTCTCTCAAATGTGACAAAGCTCATATATCTGCCTAATATTCTAATTCCTTAGAACAACTGGTAATCTTGAGTAACAATAAGTCTCTGCTAATCCAATGCCACAGTCATGTGGCTTGGCATATTCAGCCGAGATAATCTATGGCGGCTTCTAATCCTCATCGTTGACTAGGCATCTGTCGTGAGATCTGCCCAATTCGGCATGACTTATGGCCCTATTCGAATTTCGATTACTCTTCTCTTCTCTCATGTTGTTTTTATGTGTTTGTCTTGCTTGGAGAGGACAGTGAAAGACCCCTGGGGAATTGACTTTACACATGAAAAAGCTTGAGCTGTTCTAAACATAATCCATATTCGGCGTTGGTCATAAAGAAGTCGATTTATTTTACCAGTTTAGCTTTTAGGCGCATTTCTCTGTTCCTACTTTTTGACATTTTCCAACTTGCAGACTTTCCATCTTCTATCAAAATAGATCCTCATTCTGTTATCTATATTCACGGATATCTTTACAGTTTCTTCTTTACGACTAATATCCCAAAAAATGCTGAACTTTCATGTTAGTGTTGCTTGATTATGCCTGCGAATATGTACAGAAAATTTTTCTTTGTAACTTTTTGGGAAATTTCTGAATTTTGCCCCTGAAATTTTCTTCTCTGTAGGCCTAGGCCAACAAAACCACAGTCAATTATCAGCCAACTCTATATTTAATTATCTGTTCGCGAAACAATTTGCCTCTGGAACTGCTTGCCTTGTTTTTTGAGATGTTTCTAAGCAAATATTCCATTTTTTAATTGTTTGCTCATTAGAGATACTCCCTTTCATGCAGCTGTATTGAGATAGCAATCATCTTCTTCATTCACATCTTCCATTGAGCCATTTTCCTCATCTGTTCTATTCAAAAATATTTGTCTTCGAAATTTTTTGTGACAATCTTATTTCAGCGATCCCGGGAATGCAGAATAATGTTGAAACTACAAAGGTACCTGACACAAGTGATGAATCAACGGCAAAGGTAAATTATCATATTTTTATAGATATTGTGCTTTCATTATACATTCTGTTCGGGAATCTTTTTGGTGTTGCCCTTTTCTGTATCACAAAGCTATTTTTTCTCTAATAATAATCATGTAATAGGTTCATAAATGTTCGTCTACTTTACTAAGGTGCGAAAACTTTGAATAGGAGATTGACGAGGGCTGCAAAAATCAAGCTGCCGCTATATTTTCTGTGTGATTCCAGAAAAACCCAAATCAGCACACTATTTTAGCAGTGTTGATACTGAATCTTTAAATAAGCAGTCTGATATGAAAACACTTCCAACCGCTTTATCTGGTCGCATGTAGCTGAGCAGGATTGCTCGTTTGAACATATATAGAAGAAATCTAGAGATCACTTGACTCATTCTTAGGCCCCGATGATTTTTCTTGAATCCCCAATTAGTTCTACATTTTGCTTTATTTTCATATATTTTTTGTTTCAGAAGGCAAAGGTCGAAGAGACTGGACTACAATCTCAGGTAAATTTTTCTTTGATTGTTTTCACGTTTTGATGTTTATGTTAGTGTTTTTCTCTATACTCTCATTCTCATTTGTATAAGCTTTCTTATCTATTATAAGTTGACCCATAAGTCTTGCAGAAAATATGTGTAATTTTGTTCAGAAGTGGTTGAACAACGTTGAAAAATGATATCACATATTTTTAAAACATAGAAATAGTCTTTGGATTTTCTTACACATATTGGAGATTGTACACCGAAGGAAACAAAGACATAACCATTTATAGAGGACCTCTTCAGCCCAAACTACGATAGTTTGAGAACGGTAGATCGAAAAAGAATGAATAGAATTGAAGAAATTTTTACTGGATGTTGTAGCATCTTTAGCGACCAAAATTAAAAACAGTTTGTATTGCTTTTGTACGCCGTTGATATTTACCTTGAGCAATAACAGAGTGCATGCTCCTTCTCTGTGAGCTTCGTAGGTCCCGAAAAAATTTGTTGATTTTGAAATAATAACGGTATTCCAAGTTTTTCAATACAAGACTCACGGACCAACCAAATGTGAATATCCGACCAGAAGCACGTCACCCTACTCACTTCCTCCTATTCCCTCGATGCTTCTCGTCTCTAGAGCGGAACAGCCCTAGCTTAAGCATGCTAATGGGTTCGAAGAGTGAGTGGCCGGGGGGGGGGGAGGGAGGCTGTGTGTAGTAGCTTCTGCCCCCCCCCCCCTTTTTCGCAACACGCGCATCGTCGAGTGAGTGAATCTGAGTGAGAAGCAGTGATAAATCGGCTATGCATGCGATGCAAATTATTTCCTTCACGTGCTACTATTGATTTGTTGCCCCGCTTAGAGTAGAGCGGGGGGGGGGGACGGATAACCAGAAGACATATTCCACTCGTGCCTTGTTCGCCCCTCTCCCCCTCCCCCGTTTCGTCGCTGTTTCGAAAATCGGAGAAAATCTGAGCTTGTTGCGAAATTTGAAGCTTTACTTTTCCTTTCCTTCCTCAAAGCCGTAGAGTGAACGGCCCTCATAAATATTCTGAGCTCCTCCCCGTCTGGCACGTTGCCACAAGCAATGACTCTGTGAATCATCCTCATATGCGGCGAAGATGAGTTGCGATCAGGGATTATCAGAGGCTTAATTGTGATCTCATTGCCATGTTCCAAATTCCTAGTCCATTCTTTTTCTTTTCAACTATCGCTACTGCAGAAAATTCATGCTTTTTCTGTCATAATCAAAGTCTTAGTTAGAAAAGTCATTTCGATAAAGATAATATTCTTTTCGTATCACATGCAGCTTCGTTCTGTTAGAAAAGTAACTTCCAATCAACTAACCTTTTTCGTGAGCAGTTAAGCTTCAAACTCTTGCTATCACATAGCCGTTATTTGGAATTTTTTATCAGTAGTAAAACAACTTCATCCTTTTATAGATGACCTTCTAAAAAATGAATTGACTTACTTTATTTTTAGACCTTCAAAAACGGCCGAACTTATTATGGTCTTTAACCATCATATCAACCAAAAATTTCAACAAAAGTAATGAAGTAACTATGCAAATCTCATTTTTTATTTTTTTAGCGGTTAACAAGAGTTTTGAATTTTGCAAGCATATTTTCGCAGTTAACAGTTGATGATTTTCTTACATTTACGAAATTGAATTACTTTTCTTGAGAGAAAGAGTTTTTTCTTGGACGAATTCATCATTTCTCTCCAAACTACCAAAACATTTTTGAGCTTGTGGTTTCTTTTTTCGAAGAAGAGTTTGACTTCTTACAAGGGAAGGACCCTTGGTCGAAGTGGGATTCCCACAAGTGATGCATATCATTGTGCTGGTCTTGGGGCAGTAATACCAAATCCATGTTCCTTAGCTGCTCAATGATCTTGGGGGAAAAGTTACGAGCGATGGTTTCCACCGGATGACTGCGGATCGCTTAAGTTAGCGGCACCGAGAAATGTCAGTTGTGGAAGGATGCCGAGTAGATAGCTGCGGAGACTATGTTGGAAGTGATAAAGAGTTTGAAATGCTCATGTTCCAAACATTCTTGCTGCAGAATCTCTAATATGTATCTTTAAAATGTCCCTAGCAGAGAAACACCCGGCACCCTTTGAATAATTTGCGAGAATGCCAAATGTTTGGAACATAGGTGTTTAGAGCTCTTTACCACTTCCTCTATGATCTTCGCAGCTATCCACTCGCCCATCCCTCCACAACTGACATTTCTCGGCGCCGCCAACTCAAGCGATCGGTGTTCATCCTGGGGAAACCATCGCCTATAACTTTTTCCAGAAGATCATTGAGCACCTAAGGAACAGGATTTGGTACTAGTGCCCCAAGACGAGCACAATGTTATGCATCAAATGTGGGAACCCCACTTCGACCGAGGGTCCTTCCCTTGTTAGTATTTTCACTTTCGCCAGCGAGGAGAAAAGGCTCCCAATTGTTCTAGAAAATTTCTGATAACATTTCATTCCAAAAACTTTCTTTTGTTACGATACTTTTCTTGAAAGGGAATTTGATGGGTCTTTCCCCCTTTTCATTAGGGAGGAAGCACGAAGAACAAAAAACGAAATTCACAAAAAAATCTGGTCAGTTCTGTTATTTCAAAAATGCACTCTTCTTAAGATTCTTGAACAAGATTTAGTAGTTCTTCAGCCACATCGTACATTCATCTTCTTAAAAGAACTTATTACCCTTTTTCAATGTTTTTGTTAAAAATATAACCTTTTGATGTATTGCTTTGCAAAATTATCTTGTTGTGGTAGACAGAATTAATTGTTTCATGTGTACAGCTGCCACCTCTAATTCAAAAGGTAACCTTTTTTCTTCCTGAACAACTGTCGGCTTTTTAACACCTCAATAAAACAGTTGTTTCTGTGTACTGTTCAGTTTTATTGTGCCGTAACAGGTTGGTATAGATGATATACTATTTATTGCCTGACGTTTCGGCTTTACGCCGTCTTCAGAGGCTGAAAAGGCGTCAGTCACCATGATGTACGTACTTGGCCGTCAAACATCTCCCCCCACTTGTCATTTGATTCATCCAAGATAGAAGTAGGGAGTACTGGAGTAAATTTCACCCACCAAGTATATCACCGTTGTTATGCTTGCAGCCGCTCGAGATGTCGATCGAGTGTGATGTCAAAGTAAGCAGTCAGGACACTTTGAGACTGCTTAAATACGAGCACACAATCTTATAGATTACAGTATGATATATACGGCATCAAGTCACTCGTTATAGACAATTTCTCATTCTTGCCATTCAGTTTGGGATCGCGGGCAAGGATGTAAGAAGCTTCCAAGGCTTTCCGTGCAGAAATCTGATGTTCGTAAGCCAAGATCTTGCACCTAATGTTGTAGTCAGTACCACCGTGCTCTATCATTCTATGTTTTCCGAGTGGACTTACTATGCTTTGCCGTTTCTTACTAGCTAAATGTTCACTTATGCGCACACTCAATGGCCGCCCAGTCTCACCTATATAGATGGCGGAGCACTGGATGCATTCAATTTGATACACCACGCCAGATTTTGCGCAGTCTCCAGGTCTTCCGTATGGGCAAACTACGCAATTTCGTGAAACACAGGCTCTATCGTACAGTCTATTACGTACTAACTGCTTTTTAATGTTGTCTTGCGGGATATTCACTAAGACAACGTCTTTCTCAAGCTGCGCCTGTGTCAGACATTGTTTGATTGCTGTAGTGACCCTTTCGGAGATGTACGGTAAGCACAAAGGTATTCTGTTAGTATCATGTTCGCTTGCTCTTACTGCACTTCTTTTTGATCGTCTGGGCCGTATAGTGTATCCGTTTGAGGCCATAATTTTAGCTGCCAGTTTCAATGACTCTTGCCTTTCGTTCTTGCCACTGCAGATATTTGTTACTGTTTTGTACATGTTGCGAACGATGGCACGTTTGACAGCTTCTGGATGTGCGGAATTGGCGTTCAAGATGATATTCTTATTACTTTCTTTGCGAAACCACTTAACTTGAACCCCTCCGTTGACCAATTTCAGCTGGGTGTTCAAGAAGGGTAGCCAGCCGTCGCGTGGTTTTTCTCTTGTAAAGCTTATGTATTGTGATTGGTGATTTAGCAATCTAAAACATTCGTCCATTTCAGACTGTGTATTTGTGACGATACAACAGTCGTCAATGTAACGACAATACATAAGCGGGCCTCTGAGAAGCACCGGTTCTTCTATTTTGCTCATGAAGCAAATAGCTAGAACAGGTGCTAATCGTTGGCCCATTGCTAGCCCTCTTATCTGTGCATAATATTTACCCGACCATTTGAAAATATTGCAATCTAAGCATTCCTTGGTAAGCGTCATGATGCGCGATTTACTGAGCCCATATGTTGACATGGATGTGCCATGTAATTCGAGTAGCTCAGACAAGGCTTGTAAGGCCTTTTCATTAGATACATTTGTATATAATGATGCGACATCAAACGACTCGACTGCACAGTTCGAGGTGAAGTTCGTTTGGCGCAAAAGCTCAAGGAAGTGATTAGTATTGCTCAAGTGGGCGGGTATTTTATCTAAGAGTTGGCCGACAATTTTAGCAAGGAACCACGATATGCGATCGGCTGGCCCGTTTGTACAACTGACGATAGGTCGTATCTTATAGGAGTTTGCGGATGCGGATTGCATTTCGTTCGCAGAAAGTTTATGCGTCTTGATTAAGCTGTAGAATACAGGGCAAGTGGGTGTTTCTAGTTTCAGTCTACTGAGGAATTTTTCGTGTATACCAGCTTCTCTACCTATCATCGTCCATACATGGTTCAACCTTTTGCATTGCGAGAGAAATTCTTTTTCGCTTGTACAACGGTATAAAGTCTCATCAGACAGATGAATTTCGGTTATCTCGCGGTCGAGGCTTTGCGGTATGACAATGAATTCTCCGCCTTTATCACTAACCGATAGTCTGATGGTACCGTTGTTAGTCATTTCTCTTAACTCTTTGAGACCTAGCTGTTGCGCGCGTGTCAAGTTGTAATTTCTTATGGCTTTGTTGTCATTGAGGACCTTCAAGATGCTCAATGATAATATCCGAAACTTGATGTCCGCAGCGGCGTATGGTTCAGGCTCTTTATAGAACGAACATGGAAACGGTATAGGTGGTAATGTACGTCTACTCAGAGCATCAGCTAGTTGCGGTTGATTTTGCTGTTTCAATCTAACCCTAAGCTGATCTCGCAATCTTTGTAACGATCCCAATGCACTGCGATACGTCCTAGCACTTATGTTTTGAGAAGGTGCGAAAGAAGGCCCTAGGCTCAGGAGTTCGATGGCGTTAGAAGAGACCTGAGCATTACCTAAAACGGTGACTCTAGCCGTTTTTTCGTTTTCGGACTGAGTGACTGCAGTGTTGATATGGTGACTAGTTGGCAGATTCTCGTTAACTCCAGTAAAGCTCGGCTCACCTCTATCTGAGAGTCTTTCAAATTTTTGACAAAGTGCGGTTTTGACATCAGACCGCAAAGAAGCGCAGATCTGTTTTGATGCGTTTTCGATCCTCCTCCATTCGATATCACTAACATATCGACGACATGAGAATTCTTTTGCTTCACACTTCAGTAGGCTGGAGTATATCACGCGTTGCTTTTCTTTGATCACCGTTTTGAGAATGTTCATGTAGAGTCCGCGTATTCTCGGGTGATTTTCTGATAATCCGCATGTTACTCCCAGTTTCTTATTTGTTATGAAGCGTGGGAACGTTTCGGTCGACTTGCAGCGTTTGAGGAAGATCAATTGCTGGCGGGCGACGACAACCTTCTGGCGAAGCGCTAAGGCTTCGCTCACGAGAGAGGACAGGTTTGGCGGTACGTTTGTGATTATACTGTAGGTCCTCTTGTCTTTAAACCTGGGCATCTTCTGGATCAAGTACTGTTCAGTTTTATTGTGCCGTAACAGGTTGGTATAGATGATATACTATTTATTGCCTGACGTTTCGGCTTTACGCCGTCTTCAGAGGCTGAAAAGGCGTCAGTCACCATGATGTACGTACTTGGCCGTCAAACATCTCCCCCCACTTGTCATTTGATTCATCCAAGATAGAAGTAGGGAGTACTGGAGTAAACTTCACCCACCAAGTATATCACCGTTGTTATGCTTGCAGCCGCTCGAGATGTCGATCGAGTGTGATGTCAAAGTAAGCAGTCAGGACACTTTGAGACTGCTTAAATACGAGCACACAATCTTATAGATTACAGTATGATATATACGGCATCAAGTCACTCGTTATAGACAATTTCTCATTCTTGCCATTCAGTTTGGGATCGCGGGCAAGGATGTAAGAAGCTTCCAAGGCTTTCCGTGCAGAAATCTGATGTTCGTAAGCCAAGATCTTGCACCTAATGTTGTAGTCAGTACCACCGTGCTCTATCATTCTATGTTTTCCGAGTGGACTTACTATGCTTTGCCGTTTCTTACTAGCTAAATGTTCACTTATGCGCACACTCAATGGCCGCCCAGTCTCACCTATATAGATGGCGGAGCACTGGATGCATTCAATTTGATACACCACGCCAGATTTTGCGCAGTCTCCAGGTCTTCCGTATGGGCAAACTACGCAATTTCGTGAAACACAGGCTCTATCGTACAGTCTATTACGTACTAACTGCTTTTTAATGTTGTCTTGCGGGATATTCACTAAGACAACGTCTTTCTCAAGCTGCGCCTGTGTCAGACATTGTTTGATTGCTGTAGTGACCCTTTCGGAGATGTACGGTAAGCACAAAGGTATTCTGTTAGTATCATGTTCGCTTGCTCTTACTGCACTTCTTTTTGATCGTCTGGGCCGTATAGTGTATCCGTTTGAGGCCATAATTTTAGCTGCCAGTTTCAATGACTCTTGCCTTTCGTTCTTGCCACTGCAGATATTTGTTACTGTTTTGTACATGTTGCGAACGATGGCACGTTTGACAGCTTCTGGATGTGCGGAATTGGCGTTCAAGATGATATTCTTATTACTTTCTTTGCGAAACCACTTAACTTGAACCCCTCCGTTGACCAATTTCAGCTGGGTGTTCAAGAAGGGTAGCCAGCCGTCGCGTGGTTTTTCTCTTGTAAAGCTTATGTATTGTGATTGGTGATTTAGCAATCTAAAACATTCGTCCATTTCAGACTGTGTATTTGTGACGATACAACAGTCGTCAATGTAACGACAATACATAAGCGGGCCTCTGAGAAGCACCGGTTCTTCTATTTTGCTCATGAAGCAAATAGCTAGAACAGGTGCTAATCGTTGGCCCATTGCTAGCCCTCTTATCTGTGCATAATATTTACCCGACCATTTGAAAATATTGCAATCTAAGCATTCCTTGGTAAGCGTCATGATGCGCGATTTACTGAGCCCATATGTTGACATGGATGTGCCATGTAATTCGAGTAGCTCAGACAAGGCTTGTAAGGCCTTTTCATTAGATACATTTGTATATAATGATGCGACATCAAACGACTCGACTGCACAGTTCGAGGTGAAGTTCGTTTGGCGCAAAAGCTCAAGGAAGTGATTAGTATTGCTCAAGTGGGCGGGTATTTTATCTAAGAGTTGGCCGACAATTTTAGCAAGGAACCACGATATGCGATCGGCTGGCCCGTTTGTACAACTGACGATAGGTCGTATCTTATAGGAGTTTGCGGATGCGGATTGCATTTCGTTCGCAGAAAGTTTATGCGTCTTGATTAAGCTGTAGAATACAGGGCAAGTGGGTGTTTCTAGTTTCAGTCTACTGAGGAATTTTTCGTGTATACCAGCTTCTCTACCTATCATCGTCCATACATGGTTCAACCTTTTGCATTGCGAGAGAAATTCTTTTTCGCTTGTACAACGGTATAAAGTCTCATCAGACAGATGAATTTCGGTTATCTCGCGGTCGAGGCTTTGCGGTATGACAATGAATTCTCCGCCTTTATCACTAACCGATAGTCTGATGGTACCGTTGTTAGTCATTTCTCTTAACTCTTTGAGACCTAGCTGTTGTAATTGAAAAACAGAAACAGTTGTTTCTGTTTTTCAATTACAAAATACCCTAGAGACATTGACTTCTATGTCAGAGTCGATGCCATTAGGCAAAAAAGCTTATATTGATGTTATTGACGTAGCGTAGTCATGTGTAACTAATACCTGATAACTCATTGTTTCCCCAAGGGAAGGAAGTGGATTTTTTGAGCACGTGCTTCTTATAGGGTTCTTATACTTGTACTTTTCACTTAACTGAGCAATGCCGGTCAGCTGAAGTGATTCTAGTGAGTTGGCAATCATCCCAAGTACTCATATAGCGCGGTATTGCTCGTGAATTTTGATCCCCTCGCTCTACTTCCTCTAATTACTTTTTGTTTTTGATGAGGGATGGCGGCGGGGGGGGGGGGGAGTTGACGTTTACCGCTCAATTTTTCGTCATTTAGCGACAATTTTCGTAAAAAGGACGCTATTGTGACGAAGAAAAGGTTTCTATCTTCAATAGAAACAGTTTAGTGACATTTTTGCCAGCGTATTAGCATCATATCAGCTTCACTTCAACCACATCATGCTTCGAGGCCGAAAAAATACTTTTTTTTAATGAGGGCATCATTAAAGACATTGCCTTATGATAGGGACTAAACCTCTGTTTGAATTTTGTTTGCTTGGTACTGCCTAACTCCTTTTTAATGAGCTCTTTTTCTAGAAAAAGAGTCAAACAATCATGTATTGCTGTCGCTATTAATTAACTAATCCTCAGACCTCTCACGCAAACACTCGTTTTCTTTCCCAACTAATGAGATCGCATTATTTCCGACACTATTCCTGTCTGTCTACCCTTCCGTCAACACCCTTAGCATTGTTATTGCTCGTTCTGCTTTTCAGCAATCAGAGGAGGACGAGCCGATGTTCTCCGAAGAGATGCTCGAAGAACGGCGAAAAGCGCTCGCTTTGAGAGCTGCGAAGAAGGAGGCAAAAGCTGCCGAAAAACCTCAAGCAGCGACAAATGGACAACAAAACGGACAAAACGGAGCCGAGCAGGAGTCAGAGCTGGAAACGGGCACGGCAGCCGTCACTGCGGTGGAAAATGCAGCTGAAAAAGCGAAAACCGCTGCGGAAACGGCAAAAATCGCTGCCGACACGGCAGTGATTGCTGCCGAGTTGGCAACGGCTGCTGCCAAATCGGCTTCGGTAGCTGCTGACACAGCCGTGGCCGAAGCTGAGGAGGTAACAGCCAAGGAAACAGCACAGAATGAGGAACAGAAGAATGCTGCAGAAGAAACCAAGCAAGGTTTGGCGGAAAAATTTAGGTGCGGGAGTGAGCAAAACGTATTTTTTCAGAAGAAACTACAAATGGCGAGACAGTGGCTGCACCGCAAGAGCAAACAGAAGTGTCGGAGGTAGAGAATCAAGAGCTTGCATATGATCCGAATGCATACCCTGGTAGGTGGATTCTCAGATCAACGTATCGACAATCTCGAAGCACAACATTATACCCTCAAAATAGAGCTATTTAGTACATATTTCCAATACCAGCCATGGAAGGAAGTCTGCGTAAAAAATAATCTGTTGATCCCTTTATCTTCCCAATATTTGATATTAGTGTTTTCGAACCTATCCTGCTGTAACTTTACACTTTCCTGCTCAAAACGTATATTTATTATCTGAGTCGAGTCAAAGCTTTTTAGAGTCTAAATTTTCGATTTACTGGAGAGTCCCTTATCACTTTCTATCTAATACAAGAGATGTTCGCTTTTGTCGCTCGTAGAGGTTTCATTGAACTCTATGGTTGGAATATTTATTTGCTTCATTTGATTTGCGCTTTATAATGTCAATTTGTTTTATTTATTGAACTGTAAAATTTCGATATAGAAAAAATGTGACGGAAAAATTTTGCCGGTTTTTCGAGCCACAGCCTTGTCTTGTATCTCCATCTTTGAATTGCTGGAAATTTTGGCTCTAACTTTTCTCACTAGTTAAATAATAAAATCAGCATAATATTGCAGTTTTGGCTGCCATACACCCATCAATTTGATTAATTCATTCACATAACGCGAAACATTGCAACCTTATCCTTGCGAGTTCTTCAGGTTACATCTGGAACTACGAAACGCAGCAATGGGATGTAGATCCTAACTACGATCCTAGCCAAGATCCGTCGGTGTATAATGCTGGATATGATCAAGGAAACTATCAGTACGACTATGGGTCGGTAAAGGGAAATTAATATGTGACAGACTAAATTTTTAATTTCAGCGGCGTTGGTGCAACCGATGGCTATACTTATCCTGGCACCTATGGGCAGAACTATTCTTACGATCAGAACGCTGCTGGATACACGCAAAATGCTGAAGGGACCTATGATCAAAATGTTCAACAGTATTATGGGCAAACTGCTGGGTACGACCAGCAGACCGGGTACGACCAGCAAGCCAACTATCAGTACGACCAAACCGGGCAGTATTCTGGTTACGATCAAACTGCGGGTGGTTACGGTCAAAGCGCCTCCGGTTACGACCAGGCTACCGCTGGATACGACCAGAATGCAAGTGCTTATGGTCAAGGTGGCTATGACCAAACGGCTGGAGCCTATGGCCAAACCACAGCTGGTTACGATCAAAGTGCTAGTGCCTATGGTCAGCAGCAATATTATGACACTGCGGCCACCATGCAAGTGGACACAAACTACCAGAATGGCTCATATTATCAGACACATGCTGGATATGACCAAACGGCAACAGAATATACTGAACCACCTATTGGGCTCCAAGATTACACTCCTAGCCCACAACCTAGCGAGTATAGTACGACACCAGTAGCACCGGGAGGGGATGGGCAGCAAAATGCACCGACGAGTTATGATTATTCACAGTATGCGCAGAGCTATGGAACTGACTATCAAGGCTACCAACAAACGCAACCCGCGCAACATGGTAAGCTTTTGAATTCTAATTGATAGTTCATGTTACTTGCCCAAAATTCTCTTTCATTCAATCTATCATTTGAACGTAGAAGACTTTGATCACTTAATTTTTACTTGATATGTCTGTCAAGGATACACAGATTTCCTCTTCAGTTTTGTTTGCTAGCTACCATACATTAGAAATGTTGATGCAAGTGCAATTCTTTTGCTAATCAGAACGAGCCATGCTACTTTAGTAGGATAACGATCTTGGTATCGCTGATTATTGCTGTCTTGATTATTTCCTTGAATTTTCTACAAAGTATAATATTTTCCAATTTCGAAGATTAATTCAAAATTTTCGGAGTAAGCTAATTGGTCCATAGCAAAAGAAGCGATAGAGACAAATGCTAACATGCAACTAAAAATATAGAGGCTTCTAGAAATGCAGCAATGTTGCATCCTTATCTACTTCGGTTAGTAATTAAAAACTCGTAGAGTTTAGCGCAAATTTTTCTTACGCTTCCGAAAAGTGAAATTTTTTCAATTCTTTCACCTCCTGACACTAAGGCCCGTATACACGTACATCCCCGCTGGGGAGGGAAGGGGATCTGAGAGGGGATGCGTCATTCACTACTCTACGTATCTTTTTTCTTCTTTCTCTATTTTGCTTATGAAGGTACTCATACCCTTATACTTGCGCATAATGGATGCCAGGTTACTGCTATACAAGATTGGTTTTTTGCTATTTTGTGACCCCTTCTCAGGAAGATAAATCACCCTGAGAAGTCAGTGAAAACGCTGCAAAATTGTAACTGAGAGTATACTACAGCACTGCTAACCATGTTTTCGACAGGAGAAATGGAATCTGAAGATTGTGAATTTTTCGATGATCCCTAGCTCGCGAGCTAGGGATTACCGAAGATTTCGATATCCTGAAATTTCACTTATTTCTACTATAACCATCTTTAGCAGTGCCCTAATATATCCACAGTACAATTTTAAAGCGTTTTCAAAACAGTGAAATTCTAATCAATTATGCCAGTAACATTGCATCAGTTATGCGCAGGTATTAGGGTATGAGAACCCTCATAAGCAAGACAGAGGAGGAAGAAGAAAGATGCTTAGATTAGCGAGATATGACGCATCCCCTCTCAGATCTCCTCCCCTCCCCAGCGGAGATGTGCGTGCATACGGAAATAGTTCTATATAGAGAAATTCTGTCCTCAATGCAAAGGTACTTCTAAAACCCACCAGACAGACCCGACTTGCCGATTCTCTGATGTTCTTCTGTTCCTGCCATCGCGTTCCCATGCTGTTCTTCACCCACTTTTATATTCTTAGGACAGGAGGTGCCTTCTTACACACATATGTAGTATGGCATAGAAAGTTTTTGTGGTTTGTGCATCAAATGACAAAGGGGCATTGTTGATTTTGAAATGAGACTTCAATGATTTCTTCGCTACAAGTGTAGAATTACTCCTTCAGACTATCAAAACAATTATACTGACTCAAGCGCTCCTGCTGCACCTCCCAGTTACCCGACCGCTGAACACCCGTATCCTCAACTCCCACCTGAACGCCCACCACCTGCTCCAGTTTTTACTGAGCCACTGTTTAAAAGGTATGATAGATTCCGGCATACTTTATAACTAACCTTCCCAAATTTGCAGTACGCCGCCATCGGATCCATTCTCTTGGGGACAGGACACTCAAGCACAGGCGACGCTCAGTCAGTCTGCTACAGATTATACCGAGCAACACTCCCCTTCTCGACCTCCTCCATCGAGGCCAGCACCACCGAAATTTCCTAGAACGGGGGCGGGTGATGAGCAAGGTAATTTACTCCACCTGCGAAAGAGCCGGATTTTGAAAAATTTTGTTATAGTGGCCGCAGCTGCAGCAGCAGCAGAAGCTGGTTCACATTCCCCTGCACCTCCACGACCACCACCAGCTCACCCTAGCCCTGCAGCTCATCCTCATCCACCTCGACCTGGACCGCCATCGCCAAGACCTCCACCGCCGAAGAAGGTCCAGGAACCGGAGCCGGAAGAGGATGCATGGACAAAATTCAAGAAGATGACTGAAGAGGTTGACATAACTAGCATTCTCTAAAGAAGAAATTCAACTTTATCTTTTGAGGTCAACGCTGCGTTGAAAACGTCTGAAGACACCTTGAAGAACTTGGAAGAGACCACTGCGGTGAAGGATATCAAGGATGAGAGCTATCTAGGACAAATTGGGTTCGTTCAAACTCTCCAGTTTTTGTGCACATTAGCCATAAATTTGTTTTTTTTGAGTCTACGTTTTCTTCTCTAGGACTTCAAGAAGAATTGAAATGTGGGTGGTTGATTTTCCAATTTTAGAGGAACCCAAGGCTATGACGACACTTACGCTCAAAGAGAAATACATCGATTAGCAGAAGAGAAGAAGGAGGAGAAGAAACTTAAAAAGAAATTGAAACAACAAGGTAAAGAGACTTTCTCCATTAGCGTATGAATGCTGGATGAATACTTTTTAGGAAAGAAAGCTCCGTCACCAACATTTGATCCGGACGAAGAAGACAACATGGATAGAGCAGCGCAGGAGTTGGCGATGAAAATGGCCAGCATGAGGACGGACCTAGGGGTTTGTGACGCCTCCCTTTATTTTCATCCGTCACTGCTTTTATTTTGATTTTACCTAAATCAAAGATTTTTTAGGATTGGAAGCCTCCTACCGCTGCCCAGGAAGCGGTAAAACGTAATGATTCGCTGTCTGGGATTCCTCCACGAAAACGGTAAGTCCCATTCTAAAAAATCTCCCATGTTCAATGCCACATTATTATCTGTTAACATCTCGTATTATCTCAAGTACCCTATTCATTTTTCAATGCCATGTGAAAGATATTTTATCATACTTTCTCGACAAAATTTGCCATTTTTTCAGAAGCTCTCTTAAAGACGTCCAGCAAGATTCTGGTGGTTCACTGGAGCTGCCAGCCCATTTAGCAAGTCAACCCGCGGACAACGATAATGTGAAGCCGGTTGGAGATTTGTGAGTCATAAACTGTCTCAAAAATATCTGAAGTTGGTTTATTATAGAAAATTCAAATCATTGATAAAAGGTTTCAAAAATCAACTTCATAGAATACCGTAGTTTAAATTACAGAGCACCTGACGATCCCAAGCTGACAGCTCCAGCTTGGGCCGACTTTGAAACTGCTGCTCCAGAGCTTCCACCTAGTGAGAGCGGATTCTTCAGCAACAAAGTGAGTTTTTAGTCAATTACATTTGTTGCTTATATGCATAATTGTACCTTATTTTTCTGCGAAAAATTTTTTTATTTTTATTGAGCAGAATTCATTTTCTACATTTGAATTCATTGTATGCGTTCTGTTATTGAAGAAATGGCTGTAGGACTGCAAAATTTACGCGCATATCTATCGAATGGTAACGTCTATTCAAAACAGATTTCAAGATATGATATTCTCCACAAATGTGCGTATAACTGGTGTGAACAAAAGGAAATATCAAGCATATGTGATGCAAGAAAAAAGTAAAAAATTTTCCGAGGTTGAAGATCATTATGAGGGCTCGGGACTCAGGGTAGTCAATCAACATATAATCCTTGGCCGAAAGTAATCATTGCAGGAAAGCAACAGCTTGGATCCTTCTTCTGAAGCTTATGATCCGTTCATTGTGCCTACGGATTTCAAGCCACCAAGAGATCCGTTTGCTCCTCCGGATAAAAATTTGATTGAAGAGGTATGACAATCATCCTCTCCTTCTAGGCATATCAAGCTGTTGTACATTATAGGATTATGATCCATTCGCAGTCCGACCTGTAGAGGATATAGTTGCTGCAGCCAGAGCTAAAGCTGAGGAAGTTCGGATGGCCAAAGAAGTCCAGGACGATGTGGACTTCTTTTCGGGATCGCGGTAAATTCCTTTTGAGACATTTATCTGAATGTTGTCAGAATTTCAAATTCTCCAGGCATAGCCCAGCTCTTTCAACACCAACTCCGGAGGGTGGCAGTCCAGTAGCGAGTCCGACTCCTCGCCCAGAAGGATTTGAGGATGATTTCAAATGCGAGGTAAACGAAAGACATTTTTAAACATACTCTGCTCACCCTCTACACATTCCCATCATGCAGATAAAAATGCTTACACTTATTTAGGGTATGGATATGGAAACACCGACTCCGCTCTACGATGAGGATGATTCTGAACCTCTCACTGAATTCCTACCCAAGTTTACTGGTGATGGTTGGGATCTTATGGTTAGGTGAGTGTCAAACGTTAATTGAGAAAATTCCAAATACGCCTAAATTTTAATGTTTTCGTCTTTATTTCGTTTTATGATCTACGATGGTGAAAAGCGAGTTCAATTTAGGCATCCACTCAAGAAGAAATCTTTCATGGCGGAACGATTTTGGAAACCATGTTACGTACGGCTACAAGGCAATACACTGCTTGTCTACAATGCAAAGACAGACAATAGACCAATTCAGATAAATATTAAATTGTTACATTGCTTAGTTATATCATTTTATTATTGATTCTTTGATTTTACTTTGTAATACTTTTGTTGCCTCTACCCACAGCGAAGATTTTTCATTTATTTGAAGGAACTCCGTTTGAGTCCGAATTCATTGTGTTCAATCTATTTTATTTTATTTACTGCACAAAAAGTGCACCATCGACCAGTCAAAAAGTCTGGGCAATAGTCATCAGAAATCAAAAAGAAAGAGCTCAGATAAAACCATCATTTGAAAAAAATGTTCTCAGTTTTGATGCTACTAAACTAGCATGAAGTGAAATGGAATTATATGATCCAAATTTGACCACTTTAATACCTGTTACCTATCACCTTTGATACTTTAATCTTTGATATACCTATGTCCTAATTCTTCTTGTTTTCTTCATTCTGTTAGGTTGCCATACAGATATCCTGTTTTGTTTTATGGGATGTACTGGTTAGGATTTTGTGTGGAACTTATCCACTCCTTTTTTGAATTTTATACACCAGATCTTCACCCTTATTCACAGCCCATCTCCCACTGCCAAAAGCAAGCTATGATAAGCAGATTAATGTGAAATTTGTTTCAATTTCTTCAGAGAAAAGTAAAGCCAGGAAAACCTAGATACAATCTTCTGCAGTTGTGCAAGCTGCATACCAGGCTTGACACTGCTTTCGTCAAAATTTGCTAATGAATCCGTAAGATTGCAGTCATTGACAGTTTTGATTTTCTATAGCAGCGTCTCAGTTCTTAGAGTACTGCTTTGGTACTGAAGAATCTTCTGGCCCATCAAACAGAAAAGACTTTCCATGTTTTCTTTCAAAAATGGATGAGATTTTTTTCAGGAACTTCTGCTGCAAGCCACCTACTCGTTATCAGATACTACGCTACAAGCTTACGATGTTTATGGCAAAATTCATACAGTCAAACTGCAATATGTGCTTTACAAGGAAAAAGTTGGCATTCGACCTGGTATGCAGCAATCTTATAAAGGGCTCATCTATACAAAATATATCCTGACCTTAGGGCAAATCTCGCGTTTGGTGGACGGTCACATAACAAAGTATGGATTGCCGTTGGAGCATACGGCACAATGTACAGTACTGTTGAAGTTCGGCTCGTTAACGTCCACTGAGCTACAGTCATTTGTGTCTACGATCGAGGATGTGCTTTTTAAATGTCCAGCTAAAAGAGACACAAAGCCAGTTTACAAGCAGGATGAAGTGCAGGTAAGAATTTGTCTGGGTACTTTTTACTAGCAAATGTGGCTAACTTTTATGCTTAATATTAAGAATTGCTGAGTTTTTTGCAAGAAATTAAAAACAGCAAAATAGCTCTTTTTTCCTGTTTTTAACGTCTTTTTGTACGTTGATAAAATATCTCATCAGAGACTGTGAAAGAGCTAAAGTAGTTGCATACAACACCTTTTTCAACGCTTCGAAACCTCACTGCTTTCTCTCTGTATCGTATAATCTATCCCTGAGTGCTCTTGATGAAATAATTCCTGCATGTAAAATGAGCCTTTTTTGATTTGAATATGTCATTTTGAAAATACCAAGAGTGACGCAGAAAAGCTTCTCGACATACTGTGATTGCTTGCAACTGAAACTCATGTCAATACGCCTACACTGAAGTCGTACAAGGTTTCAAAGTTTCAATACTCGGTTATCGAGTCGGAATAAAATTCTCAAAATAACGTATTATTCAGACTAAAACTACTTGGGACACCCGATTTTAATATGAAAAAGACTTGATACTAATTCAAGTACAGCAGGGCAAATTTTTGATTGTTAGTATGTTCACAGCGTGTTCCATCTAAACCTGAAGGCTCTGATTTTATAGATTCACTGTTACGACGAATACTCCGCTTATGTGGACAAGGATGGCGTGCTATCCGATCAAAAAGCACGAGTGCGGCTGTTCTGCCTCGCTTTTGTAACTGGTTCGCCATTCCTTGAAATTGGTTTGAATGATCGAAGAAGGCAAGGAAAGGTATGTTAATTGTTCCTCATCCATTTTTACCATTGAGGAATTATAGAGGCATTTATTCATGGAGTATCAGTTGTCAAATTGTTTTTATCTAAGACGTCAGCATCTCGAATTTTTCTTAAAAGATGGACAGAAGTAAGACCGAAATTCAATGGAAATTATTGTTGAATTTTTACAGGAAGTTGTGCGACGAAAAGACATTTTGCCAATGTACACTGAACGATGGATTCGATTCGAAGAAGTCGAATTTCATTCAACAGTGGATCGAGAAGCGTTTGAGAAAGAGCAAGTGATTAGGTTGAGTCCACCAGATGGCTGCTTCTTTGAGGTATGCTCACTAGCTGCAAGCTTTCTGAGTAGTCTACAAATTGTTTTTTATAGGTTATGCGATTCCGAATACGACCGCCAAGAAATAGAGAAAAGGCACTTTCAGTCAAGGCAATAATGAAGATTGCTGGATCAAAGGTAAAACTGATTAGAAAATAACTGTAACATAGTAAAAATGTTTCGAGCAAACTATTTGGTATGTACTTTGTTTGTGATCAATTGTTCAGCCTTTTTTCACACTACTTAAAAAAGCAGCTTCAAGTTTTTTTTTCTCAAGAACAGAGTAGTATTTTTGTAGCAGCTGAAAAAGTGGCAAGAACTTTTTTTTGAAGGTTTTGAAAAATTAAGAAAAGGAATCTAGGTTGAAATACGTGTCGAAGCTATGGCCGCGGCACAGACTGAAAGAACGAGAGGAGGCAGAACGGCTCGAAGACAAATACCTTGCGAGGATATTGCTATCCGATTCCCTATACCTGAAGCTTGGATCTACATATTTAGGTTGGAAGTTATAGCTCCACAAGCGTTAGTCAGTCACCATCACCTTTTTTAATTCCAGGGAAGAACGACATTGGGGTGTTGGATCAGTACACTCGAGGAAATTACGGCCTGGAAAAGTCAAGGTTGGTTTTCTTCTCTTATCAGAACTGCGAGAAAACTTATCTATTCATCTCAGAATCTGAAAGATCGACTGCTCGGAGCTGTGCAATCCGCCGAACCAAACCTCATAGAGTGCGCTATCGGTGAAGCAAAATACGAGCATGTGTATAGGTCCCTAGTTTGGAGAATACCACGGCTAAACGAGAAGGATAATGCAGCGTACAAATCGTATTTGTTGAGGTAATAAGCGAAAGAGATTTTTGAAAGTTTTCTGCTATTCTTCCTTTCAGATGTCGTTTCGAACTTTCTTCCTTCGACTTGATGCCCGATGCTTTTCTACCCCGATGTGTAGTTGACTTCACAATGCCTCTGGCTACCGTATCAAACACAGTTGTTCGATCGGTATCCGTTGAGCAGCATGAGGATTCTGATCGAGTGGAGAAATTCGTTCGTTACGTTGCCAAGTGCCAGTATAAGGTTTGTGCAAATGTTTATACTCTCATTTTCTTCCCAAAAATTCCTTTCCAGGTGGAAATTGACTACGTGCAATGTGCTGATCTTGAAGTGGATACCATGGATCCAACCACCAATCCAGAAGTTGCTATGACAACGGTGCCAGAATTACATCAACCTGCATTCCAACCTTCTGAAGTCGCTGAGTTGCACGAGGGGTGAGTACTTTCAGAAATTTCCATCAAATTCGTTAATTACATAAATTTCAAGAAAAGTAGTTTTTACCTTTTCTATCAGTACTAGTTGTTGTTCTCAACGTTGACTTTCTAAAATTGTCCCACACAAACCCATGGTAAATTTCCTACTGACTATGTTGATGTGAATGAAAGAGAATCTCGTACAGTACCAACACTGCCGCCTTGAAATCCTACGATATAATCGCGCTATCGCGCCGGAAGTGCCGCATCGCAATAGCTCGTCTAAACTTCAACCAATCGAATTCTGGTTTGAATATTTGGAATCAGCTCCTTCTGAGCAGTCGGATAGTGATTTCAAAATTTTCAAAATCTCGATCGCAAAGATCTTTTTTTGGGACCTTCGGCGATATAAACGCATTGGCGCGTTGGTAATGCCGCACCGCAGTAACTTCTCTCAGCTTGGATCTATCAAATTCTAGATCGAATATTTGGGATTGGCATCTCTTGAACTACCCAAAACCGTTTTCGAAGATTTCAAAATCTTGCTTTCAAGCTTTTTTGGCTCCATGCCAGCGGCGATTTAAGCGCAATGTCGCGTCGGAAGTGCCGCATTACTGTAACTCGGCTCAAAGTTGTTCAACTGAAATTCTAATCAAACATTTGAAATCAGCGTCCTTTTATCTACTTAAGACTTTGCTCAAACTTTGCAGAATCTTTTGTTTTGGTACTCTTTTACATTATCGAGCCATAAAGACAGCGAAATAAACGCCATTTGGCGTCGGAAAAGCCGGATTGGTGTAACCTTCTTCAGGATTTCGCTGTAAAATTTTGATATTGATATTTGGAACAAGCAAGCTGCAAGCTATTCAAGTATGTGCTCAAAGTCTGCAAACTCCAAAAAAATTTTTCCAGATTTTTTTGGTCCCTCATAGCGCCTTAATTAACCAGGCTGGCTCAGGCCATAGCTGCAGTGACCTCATTGTATCGATCTATAGTAGAAAGTTTACCTGACGACAATTTGAAAGTGAGACTGCAACATGAACTTCCGTACTGTGATGGAATTTGAACTCTGTATTTGAAATTCCAAAATCATTTTCAGTTTTCACGATTTTTCAAAAAAAATCGCTTAGATTTTTGGGAAGTCCAAAATGCTGCATGGAGGGAAACTTGATTGAATAACTTCCTTTTAATATGCTAAAGACTATACCATTCATCAGTAGGAAAGATACTGCGCTTATTTCAGTTACTTTAGGTTTGAACATGGAATTCAGATTTTTCGAGCCGTATTCAAAAAGTAATCTGGTGTAACTTCATGAAAATCGTGTAGCCACCCACCTACTTTATATTTTTATTGACTATCTATTGAAGTTTAATTGTGGATTTTAGTGGCCATGAACTGTGGAAGGATTTTGAAAAACGCGGCAGAATGAAAATTAATTTCGATATAGCGATGCTGTAATTTTAATCTACTTTCCGGCACATTTTACTACGTGCTGAAATTTCTGCATCAGACTGTTTGCGAGATTGTTTCTGGCAAGTATCGTGAAAACGATATTGAAAGCTGGACTACTAAAATTATAGTTTGTCACCGTATTAGTCCAATTCCTGAAATTCAAAAATAGAACTTGAGTACTTTCTCACAGTTAGTGTAAATCAGAATGTTGGGCCTTCTGATGATTTGAGCCACTCCAAGCATTTCGAAATTTAGTGAGTTTCTGCGAGCATTTAAGTAGGTTTAGGTGCACCTGCACCCAGATGACACAGCCATCAAAGGTGCGAAAGAAGAATGAAACGAGTGGCAATCGATCGATCCGCACAATTATATTCATTCTTAGCGGTCAAAAACTGTGAATACTAAGTTCATAAAGAAAAGGTTATATTATTGATGTTACTCATAGTCTGAAAAAGGTTTCGATGTTCGAAATAAGAAAAACTGATAATTGAGTTTCGTTTTGTTTAGCTCACAATTTTCGACACATTTCGTTGGATTTGATAATGTCCTGAAATTTCGCACCAAAAACTTTTACTGACAAGATTTGCGGAATGCTATTGAATCGCTTATGTGCAGCTTATTAGACTGGCTGTGAAATCGTAGATTTCAAGTAAGAATGGCAAAACCAGTTCATCACTATTAAGCGTGAAATGTTGAAAAGTTCAAGTAGAAAATATGATCATGACAGCATCGTTTCATATACCGGCCACTCTTGAGGTTTTCGAGGAAAGCTTGAGAATTTCCAAATCACCGAAATGGAAACTCTACTCTATCAATATAGACTGAATGTTTGGAACATTTACCTGTTAGAAATCATTATTAAAAAGATTCAAAAGTAATTCATTTTATCATTTACACAGTTTGGTGGTATGCAGAGCCAAAATCAGATATTGATTTTTCAGTAATTTTGATTAGCATTGCCTTCTTTCAAATCCAGAAGTGAAAAACATGACCACTCAGTACTTTAGCTCTCAAAACGAGTTTTGCATGACTTTATAAGAATTTTCAAAACGTAGTAAAATGTGCAGGAAAGTCGATTAAAATACATCATCGCTCTATCGAAATTAATTCTCATTCTGCCGCGCTTTTCAAAATCCTTCCACAGTTCATGGCCACTAAAATCCACAATCAAACTTCAATAGATAGTCAATAAAAATAAATAAAGTAGGTGGGTGGCTACACGATTTTCATGAAGTTACACCAGATTACTTTTTGAATACGGCTCGAAAAATCTGAATTCCATGTTCAAACCTAAAGTAACTGAAATAAGCGCAGTATCTTTCCTACTGATGAATGGTATAGTCTTTAGCATATTAAAAGGAAGTTATTCAATCAAGTTTCCCGGAGGGGACGCAGGAGTTCCTAGCACCTCCATTCGCACCAGCATTCACACTCCAGAAGGCTCCTCGCACCTTCGCGCAGAGGTCAAGCCCCGCCTATCGCTCTACTCCTTTATTGGTCTCCTTCGGAGACCGCGGAGTGCGGGAATAGCATAGATATGCAAATGCAAAAATTCGTGGAAAATCATGGAAGGTAAGTTCCCTTATTATTGCATTTTATAAGTAGAAACCCTTTAACGTACCCGAGAAGGCCTTACAGCACTCAAAGTTGGCACTAAGTGATATTTTTGGTAAGGAGGTAATTTTCTGCAAAAGAATATTTTTCACAATGGTAATGTGGAAACACAGTTTCTGTGTTTCCACATTACCATAAGTCAAAGCTTGCCACGTACGGAAGATTGCTATGACCATCCCAGAAATTTCTTGAGGATGCTTTCGGCACTTTACTATATTCAATACCAAACTCAAAATTACGAACTTTGAAGTGCAATCTTTAGAAGCCTGTTTCTTTGTCTTTAGGGATAGCCAACGAAAAGTTGATTTTGGGTAACTATCTTGAAGGGCAAAACTCACGTCTTGAACAAGCCATGAATCTAGGTTTGGATTTTAGTGAATTATCGGATTCCCTCTGATTTAGACGAAACTATTGCATCGATGTAATAAGTATAGTAGATAGACATTAAGTGTCATATTTTTTCAGTTTTATAGAGATTCTGTGATCCTATGTGTATTTTATTTGCATCAAATTTGAGCTATACGAAGTTGTAACCAAAAACTAGAAAAATCCAACTGACCGAAAAATCGAAAAAGTCGAAAGTCCGTCAGACATTTGGGACACTTGCAACTTGCTCAATAGACATACTTTCAACCAAACGTATATGTACACTTATCTCGGCTGAAAGTCGAAAAAGGAATTTTCTGACAATGTGATGCCCACTGCATCATGGTCAAAAGATCTCTCAGTAGTAAATTTCTCGTTTGTATATTGTAAAGGCAACATGTTCCAAATGGTAGATCTCATAAACTCTAGTCTGTTTTCCATCCTTCATTATTCATCCATAACACTTGAGAAGTATTCTCCGAACCTGCACAACTCGCAATGAAATTAGCCAGTGGGCGGGGCAAATGGGCGGAGCCGTCTGAGAAGTGCGAGGACGCCTTGGGGGTGCTAAGTACCCCTGCAAGGAAAGGCGGCGAGGCTTTGGGAACTCCTGGGCCGCCGCCAAGTTTCCCTCCATGCAGCATTTTGGACTTCCCAAAAATCTAAGCGATTTTTTTTTTGAAAAATCGTGAAAACTGAAAATGATTTTGGAATTTTAAATACAGAGTTCAAATTCCATCACAGTATGGAAGTTCATGTTCCAGTCTCACTTTCAAATTGTCGTCAGGTAAACTTTCTACTATAGATCGATACAATGAGGTCACTGCAGCTATGGCCTGAGCCAGCCTGGTTAATTAAGGCGCTATGAGGGACCAAAAAAATCTGGAAAAAATTTTTTGGAGTTTGCAGACTTTGAGCACATACTTGAATAGCTTGCAGCTTGCTTGTTCCAAATATCAATATCAAAATTTTACAGCGAAATCCTGAAGAAGGTTACACCAATCCGGCTTTTCCGACGCCAAATGGCGTTTATTTCGCTGTCTTTATGGCTCGATAATGTAAAAGAGTACCAAAACAAAAGATTCTGCAAAGTTTGAGCAAAGGCTTAAGTAGATAAAAGGACGCTGATTTCAAATGTTTGATTAGAATTTCAGTTGAACAACTTTGAGCCGAGTTACAGTAATGCGGCACTTCCGACGCGACATTGCGCTTAAATCGCCGCTGGCATGGAGCCAAAAAAGCTTGAAAGCAAGATTTTGAAATCTTCGAAAACGGTTTTGGGTAGTTCAAGAGATGTCAATCCCAAATATTCGATCTAGAATTTGATAGATCCAAGCTGAGAGAAGTTACTGCGATGCGGCATTACCAACGCGCCAATGCGTTTATATCGCCGAAGGTCCCAAAAAAAGATCTTTGCGATCGAGATTTTGAAAATTTTGAAAACACTATCCGACTGCTCAGAAGGAGCTGATTCCAAATATTCAAACCAGAATTCGTTTGGTTGAAGTTTAGACGAGCTATTGCGATGCGGCACTTCCGGCGCGATAGCGCGATTATATCGTAGGATTTCAAGGCGGCAGTGTTGGTACTGTATAAAAACCTCAGTTTCTTTTTAAGCAGCGAAATGTAGGATTTTTTAAGTGTGTATAGTAACAAGTTTAAGCAACAGTGAGTTCCTATATTCTGTATATTTTTGATAAAATCACCTACCCAGATTCGGTAGATAATTGTTTGCTTGCAAAAATTTCTTTTGATTATTCTTCTTCATGCATCTGAGACATGAAAAGGCAGAAATTTCAGGTGCTGTTCTGCCGAGCTGAATAGCTTTGTCCTTTATTATTGAGGCAGGCTCTACTCAGAACAAAATGAACCCTGTAAAACATAAATTTTACTATTCTTACAGTGCTACTTAAGACTCCTTCTTTTCTATTCTGAACATACAACGATTTTGTTTTGTTTCACGGTGAAATCAGTAGTCACTACTGCTCAAAAATGTATTTGTTTGCCAAAATGGATTTTAGATAAGTGGATTTGTAGTAATATGGTACAGCTCATCAAACTCATCTAACTGATTCTTTGTCGTCATTTTTTGAACGAACAAAATTGAAATCTCAATTTCTAAAGGTAACCAAAGTTACCGGATGTTGTTCAGGTACCGTATCGAGTTTAACGAGGCAGAGACTGGTGCGGCTCGTGCTGATGACTCAAGCTCGGATGATGATGATGACAAATCGCACAAAATGCCGATTATACAAATAGATATGAAGAATTATGGATATTAGTGCTTGTACAACAGATTCGTAGTATAAGTAATTAGCGTAGCGAATGTTTTGTACAATAGATGCCTTGTTATTTATGTTGTACGTTATTTATTTGCTTTTTGATTGCTACGTCTAACGATCGCAGTTCAGTCACTTTATTGAGACTACAATTTGATCTCATTCATTCCCATTCTGGTCTTGGCTTGCATTCCATTTAATGATGTTCTCAAGTACGCTAGCATTGTCATATTTATATTATTTGATAATTTTATTCATTTACATTGTTTATAATGTTGTGTCGATGTAGCATGCTACACTAACAAGCAATAAGTAAATTTGTTCATTTACAGGTAATCAATAGAATCTCACAATAATGCTTTTCAATCTTTTGTTTGATATTCAGCAAGTTTCGAGTAACACGAACACCAGATTATTGAAAACTTCAAGATAAAAAAAAAAGAAAAAAATCGAACGATATTAGGTTGATATGTTCATATCTCATTGGCTGTAGATCAGTGCGAAGAACATTGCATGCAAGGATAATCTTGAATTTATGTGTATTTTTGGTTTCGAAAATATTAACATTTTCATAGCTACGAATAATTGATACGAAGACCTGGCCTATTTGGCACTCAACCACTGTTTTTGCCGAAAAAACTGGAGGTATTTTTTGTTGCAGAGGCGAATATTGAAACGGTCACCTTCCTCACACTTTGCTCAATTCATAGGTTAAGAAAGAACGGAGCACGAAATAGAAGAAAGAAATGAAAAAGCTTATGGTTAGACGTTTGGGGCGCGGGTGTGGGTGGTACCCATTCAAGGTGCAAAGACTTCGGGACAAATGCATTTCACAGAGGGCTCAGCAGAGTGGCGCTTTCACACGCTGGATATCGTTTTCTGAGGGAGAAGCAAAAGAGAAATCGTAAAGTTCGCAAAGGGGATTCCCGGATCTGGTAGTATAACAAGCACATTTGTTACACATAATAAGTCCGAATTCGAGGTTCTAATGTCATTCAACCACTAATGGGTCAATTAACATGTTACAAACACGATCAGTGCACTAACTTGTGTTCCCACAAGTCTTAACCTGTTGAAACATGATTTATGCACAAAAAGATAAACAATCAGTTTGTTTACAACGATTAAGTAATATTGAGCCATCAAATTTGGTACATAGCTTCGCAACGATGAGGAAAAGATAAGTATGAAAAATAATGGAAAAATTATGTGAATGAAGGAAGTTGTAAGTGTTTTTCTATTTTGGATTGCTCCCGCGCAACCTGAGAGCACCCTGAGGTTGCGCAAGACCAAACAAGGCCATACGTTACCCACTTCCTCAATTTTCCGAAAATTTTTACATGAATCTATTCTTCAGCTCAAGCTCTATCTATGAGTACTCACTCTAGCCCAAGTTTCAATCCCAGTGCTTTCCAAGCACTTAACGATATGAAAAACCCTCAACCTCCTCGCCTTCTGTGGTTTTATCCCTAATTTGCTTTTTCTGATTTTTATCCACTCATCTTTGCTGCGGATTATAAGCTGTACCTCCACAGATTCACAAAAGTCATTTCTAAATTTCTTTCGTGTCAAAGGGGACTTCCTTCCTAAAACTCTCAAAGGCCACCTCGTGCTGGGCCCTAATTTCACATGAATTTTATATTCAAAAAAAATTTTGCCCATCTCTATTGTCCAATTGATTACCACGTGGTTTTATTGGAAAGGTGATGTTAGGACGGTGGTTTCGAACATATTACTACTACTCCAGATGATTTCAAGTGCGAAACAGCTTCAAGGACTTCTATGAGCAGGCTCACACTGCATTGTTCCTGTAAAATGTTAGATTTGTGCGTTTGTGATAAGAATGAACTGTCGCAGCGCTGATTTGCATCCAATCTGCGCCGATGAGGAGCTGGTTCTGCTCACGGTAATTACGCCCTCATCCTAAAATGTATGAAACCGGAAGTTCAGGCGGGAATCGCGCGGCGAATTCGCAGAACATTTCGGTGGCAAACGATTGTAGTGAGAGATTCGTAAAGCCTAAAGTCGTTTTTCCAATCATGGCTGGCACTATTTCTTGACTACAAAAAGGCGGCTAAAACCTCTTATTAGATTAATCTCTCCTCATTTCCTCTCCTGCTCCTGCTCCGATTATGCACTGAGGCGGTCCCGGTGTACAGTCTGTAATTACGTACTCGCTTTCCGCCCAAACCGAGCGTCCGCAACGCAGAGATCTTGCTTGTGGACCCTCAATCAATAAGATCGATTTAAACGCTCAAAGCTTACGCGCGCAAGCGTGGCGCGAAGCTCTGGCGTGGCGATTGTGCCTGTGAAAAAGGGAGTACGTGATTGACACCCATTGTAGATGTCATCCTCCATGGCTGCCTCGCTTTGCAACGCCGCATCCTCCTCGCACGGAGTGTGAATGAGCTTGACCGCCACTTTTTACATGACTATGAGGAAATGATTTAATTATGATTGACAAGCTTTCAATTTTTTACATGTAGGTAAACAAATCAACAGAACAATGAAAAAGCTCGAGTTGAAGTGATAAGTGAATTGCCGCGGAAAGTAGCCTATGGTAACCACAGGCAACAAAGATGCTTCAAATGGGGACCGATGCGTATGCATATAATTTGTCCAACGCATACAACGTGCGATGGTGATGCTGTCTTTGTTCTCTCCTAGGCAAAGAACAGCTACAGCTTCTTACAAAGCGCGGCACAAGCGCGCTTTTAAGCAAGCTATTGTTGACGGTACTTCGTCAGCTTATGAAACCTATGGTCTTTTTGGTGCCGCTGGTAAGGGTGGGGCTAAAGATAATTAGAGGGCATGGAGTCTTCATGCGGGAACTTGTGAAGCTATATAGAGAGAACGTATTACGTACCGCATAGGCTGCGCTTATACTGATCCCGAAGTTCGGGAGCAGTTCCCACAGGACTCATTTCAAGCTCTGTGTTGGAACTGTTCCCGACTTCCGGATCAGTATGAACGCAGCCATATTTGCTTGCGATATGGACGACAGATTTTGCACACGATCACTCGATACCGCCAAAAACCATCAAGGCACTTGGGGCTTTGAAGAAGGTCGGCGTTGAGTTTGTATCAAGATTGTACCAGCGTTTACATCCATTATGGATTTGCTTGTCCCCGTTGATGAAGCTAACGTTACCGTGCGTCATGTCTTTTCTTACAAGGGATGTATCACAGAAGCTGAAACAGGACGCGTTTCATGCGCGATGACGCTCAAGTCTTCATACGCGGAGTAAACATATCAGCCTGCGTGCGGCGTGGGCTGCGTTGTCAGGTTTACGTCTTCCATAGAGCTGTTTATTAAAAGCATGGAAGAAGCGGAGCAAGCTCATGTAATTGGTCACCTAAAGATAACAGAGACCGATGAGCCAATTCTTCCCTTTTTAGGCAGCATTCTCGTTGCAAAGGCGAACATTCAGAGTTGTGATTTTGCCTATCTTTACACTTGCAGAGCTCCTGCAGAGCTTAGCGAGATGGTAAGCTCGCAGAGGTTAACATCTCGCTCAGCTTTTGGAGAGAGCTCCAAATAACAATGGACGAAGTACTCGCTTGGAGCTTTCTCCAAAAGATTTTACTAAAGGCATTGCGCTTGTGCGACTAGCGGAGTTGCTCTGTTGATATCTGCGTACTGCTGTTGCTTGTACGTGCTATGATACGTGGTGGAAATATAAGGACTGTTATGCTCATGCGATCGCGGCATGCACGCTATGAGGTGGAAGGAAAATCGCAAGGTGGGCAGGGTTGGAGATGGGAGCTGTGAGAGATGGAAGCGCTGCATTTCGCGTTCGATTTTTGGGGGTTAGAACTGGCAGTGAGAAATACAACATGGCCTACACGTTCCATTAAGGGGTTTTTAATCTGTGACTTGTTTTGCCACGATTCTCATTCTGCCGAGCCTTTGCCTCTAATCCCAGGCTCAACACTTTAGGCCAGTGCATCACTGCGTTTGCAACTGTCTCCTGCCTCCTACAATCGGTGACCTTCCGATACAAGAATGCTATAGGGGCACAAGTTTATTTCCAACATACTTTCAGGTCCTAAGCAGCTCATTTTGTTCGGACCAAGGAGAAACAGTAAACAACTGCGAATTGGTGCGGTGCTGCCGCGTGCAAAAGAACATTTGCGCGGCTCATTTTTGAACTAAATCCCAATTTTAAAAAAATTCACTCATTGCAATGCATAGAAGAGTTCCCTCTTTTGAGGAACATAAATCTTCCCTATAGGGTTATACTAGAAAGGCATGCTGTACGTTTGACAAACCCGCAGATTTGGCTAATCTTTGGTCCATTGAGGTTCTTCAACACGCCGATCACGAATATAATGTTGAATTGGCAGAATAGCGCGATAATATGACGTTCATGGTCTACCGGAATCGGATCAGAACCTTCAAAGCTATAGTGCATCATCCAACGAGAAGAAAAAGAAAAGGTACAGACAAGACACAAAAAGACTCTTTCAGGCACATTTGTGATCGAAATTTTAGGATGCTGAAAGCTCCTTACATGGAGTTTCGAGCAAATTTGGGATTTTGACTCACGTACTATGTAACCGCCTTAACCACACAGACGTTTTTGTGCGAGAAAAGTATGATATACGTGATCACCATGTTAGATAACCGCGCGTACCAAGTTTGACAAGCTCACGACTTTGAAGTTCGGGCCCGGATTTTGAGCAGTGTTCAGGCACATTCGAGGTTCGTGAGATTTCGCTCTAAGGGGATTTGTGACCACCTAGCGATCCTCAAACCAAACCGCCGGGTAATGTTACCCATCCCCCGAAAAAACGCTTCTCAAACAGGCGCGCGCAACCCAATTGGCGCGTGAGTTTCCGCGCAAGCACAGTTCATGTCATTTGGAGCGTCGTCGAGAAAATTATTTCTTGTTCTCGTTTTCGATCCGAGTTTTCTTAGAAAGTCTCATCTTCATTTCACCTAGATTTGTTCGAATCTTTCTTTTTTCAGGATCGATGTGACCTTATCCACGAAGTTCTGCGTTGCAGTGGCGAAGCTTGGATTCAAATCGCGCGACTGATTTAGGCTTCCGAATCAAATTGGTACAAGTTGCGCTCTGATCACGAGTCAAATGCGCGGTTCACAATGTCGGCCAGGTTGTGCGGTCGACTCGACGGTAGCTAATCAATAAGAGTTTGCAACAAAAATTCCACATCAAAATTTAGAAGTTTGCTTCAAACATCGTTGCGGTCGGATTAGCTAC